TAAATTGTAAGAATTTATAGACATGTTTATACACGCATTTTTCCATGAGTTTGCCAACTTTAGATAACAGGGATATGGGCCTATAATTAGTAAGAGTAGACCTGCTTTCTTTTTTATGTACAGGGGTGACATTTGCCTTTTTCCATTCTAATGGAAATACGGCAAAATTCAAAGATCTATTAAAAAGGGTACAGAGAGGGTTGCACACGATATCTACAGATTCTTTCAGCAATCGTGGATTTATGAGATCCGGACCAACAGCTTTAGAACAATCAAGATTCATTATGGCATCTTTAACGTCAATAATAGATATGTTAAAATTAGATAAATTATTGTTACACTCGTCGATAATGTTGGGAAGGACAGCATTGGATTCGTCTATAGACGATTGGGCACAGAAGAAGTTATTAAATAGGCAAGCTTTCTCAAAGTCATCTGAGATAAAAGTACCATTGTGAAGTAGAGGTGGTATACAGAATTTTCCAGAGTTTGGTAACAGTAAATGTACAGTTTTCCACCAGTCCTTTGCATTGAGTTGTGAGGGAGAAGCAAGTTTTTTACATAGATTATTCATATATTTCACTTTAGCCTGCTTTATTGTATTAACACATCTATTACGGATATTGCGAAATTTAGACCAGTGAGCATCACTAAGACTACGTTTGGCTTTCCGATGAGTACGTTTCCGTTTCCGAATTAATTTCCGTATTTCGTTCGTCATCCAAGGAGGGTCGTCAGATCTAATCGTCACAGTTTTGTAAGGAATACACATTTTGGCGATATCAAGAAGGGTATTAGTAAAGTTTTTAACGGAAACATTAAGATCTTCAACTCCAATCAAACTATTCCAATTTACAGCTTTTAGTTTCTCTCTAAACAAATTTAAATTACCATGATCAAAAAGCCAAACGCTACGTCTAAATGTATGCTGCTCCGGCTTTACAATATTAAAAGAACAATACGTGGGACAGTTATATCTAACCGGATGGTCGAGAAAACCTTTCCCAACAACACATTTACCAATGATATTAATGTCACTAGTACACACTATGTCTAACAGAGACGTGGAAGCATCCGTATAAAAAGTTGGTGACTCTACAAGTTGTGATAGATTATAGGTGAGAAGTATATCACGTAGATGGGATGACTGATGATCAACTAAAAGGTTAGCATTTAGGTCACCTGTTATAACAATATTGGATAAACCTGTATTATAAGCTAGTTCGATAGACTGTGATATGTGAGACCACGTACTAACAGGAGAGTTAGGAGGTCTATAAAAAGTACCATACAAAACTTTCTCTTTCCCAAGAACTATTTCCAACCATACACATTCAATAGTAGGTAGTTCTAGATCTCGCCTTCTTATTGCGGAAATATGGTTTTTTACATAAACTGATATACCTCCACCCATACGAACTGGTCTACAATAGCAGAATGGATCAGCGTAGCCAGGAAGAGTTAAATCTGATGAACTATCGTTAACATTTAGCCAAGTCTCGGTAAAAGATAAGATGGAAAAATTGTTTAATTCTGCGTATAAGATGTCGAGCTTATGTTTGAGACTTTGAACATTAAGATGGACAAAGGAAAAGTTAGTATCAGAACTGATACGGTCACTGGTAGAAGAGAAAAGAGAGGAGTCATATGTACTAGTAGAGGAGGGACCTGGATTTATCTCTACGTCACCAGATAATACTAAATGCCATTGACTTAAAACCCATAGTAGGTATGAGTAACATAATATGTCTATAGCATTATGGATAAAATGGTAAAATAACTTGGGCCGGCACCATTGTCAATATGCAATAAGCATGCGCAGATATAAAACATACTATGATGGGATACAAGATCACCACAACAGCAAAAACCTAAAACACAACATGTCAAGGACGGTCACAAAAATTACATGATTTGCGGCCTGTACACAATTATTAGAGACACCAATTCGGGCACGATAAAGTGACAAACTGACAGGCATATAAGTAATCTCAGTGCGAATCATGAGAAATGAAAAGTGCACGAAATGATGTTCTAATAAAAGGTATACTGAGCAACAGGGGGAGGAGATAGTGGGGAGATAATTTGACTAAAAAATGTACAAAATCATAATTGAAGGGAAAGAAAAAAGAAAAAAATTCGAGAGTCAAGGAAAGGGACCCTGACGGGGAATCAATTACAGATGCCAAGGGGGGCGGGGCTAAATAATAGAATGGAGCGATAAGGGCGGTTCCGTACATACATTATTCCGGGAAGGGGCGATTAAATGATAGAGAACAGCAAATACGGATAACTCCGTACATACATTTCCCAAAATAGCACATAGAATTTTCGAATTTGGGGCCGGGGACTATAGTTCTTTACTTCACTAAATAATATTCATTGACATAACGTATATAAAGATATCCCAACGTCATCAATAACAGCATGTCGTACATGTAAGTAGGGTAATAAGATAACAATCATACAAAATATCAGTGGAACATTAATATATAACAACATAAGGGAAAATGACAACAATTTGCACCTGCATGCATCGTGCGAATATGTACAAATATACATAAATGCTAACAACCAAACTCATCACAGTGGTTACGTCATGCTTATGGTTGCTGAAACCACTGCCACCAACGACTAGGGGAAGTAACTAATACTGAAGTGTGTGAAAAAAAAAACAAAAAAAACTTAAAATTACTTGTGGTAGCAGTGGTTTACTGCACTGGTCAAGGGAGGTAACCGCTGCGAGGAGTTTGGCAAACAACCACTCACATGTACATGCATACGCTCACCTGCACACAGGCGCACGCTTGCACAAGCGTATGCACGCGGGTACGTGCTTACCTATATTCACCACACACTTGACACTCTATCATTAATGTATAACATAGTTAATTTAATTAGAAGTTAGATAGGTATATACCTACACATGTGCGGCACATTACGTTATGTGAAAAGAACATAATATATTTTTGGCCGTTTTTGATCAATATGAAATGATGATATTTTAACTAAGGTCATTTAACACCACAATAATTACACTGAAAACAATTGAATGCCCATGTTCTACATATAAACCGCCCGATTCTGCCCGATCCTCTAAATCGTCTTCCGGTCTTGCGCGACCAAAACAGATATGAGTGTTTTATGTAATATGTCTCCATTTTTCCTTAAAAACTAATCCTAATGTTTAACATATGATGGTATTAATGCAAAAGTAATTCACTAAAATGAATAAAACGGCACTATTCTACCCCGATTCTACCCCGATTCTGTAAATCATCTTCCGGTCTTGCGCGGCACAGTACGTTCTGCGAGAAAAATACAATATTTTCGCTATATTTGGTTAATTTAAACTGAAATATTTGAATAATGGTCATTTAAAAACAAAATATTTACACTAAGAACAATTTAATGCCCAAAATCTACATTTAACCCGCCCGATTCCTTAAAAACTTCTCATGTGTAACATATGCTGATATCAATGCAAAAGAAATTGATAAAAATCATCAAAACGGCACTATTTTACCCCGATTCTGCCCTATCCTGTAAAACAATAACATTTATATCTACATGTATGTTGAAAAAAAATCCAATTTGCTGAAAGAGTTAAACGGATTTTTTTCATCTTTAAGTTGAAATCTTATAACGCATCACATGTGAATTTTATTGTCACGACTCCCGCTGTTTTTCCAGTACGAATTTTGATCAATAAATAGGGGGCTGTAGGGACTAATCAAATTTTACTTCGGTCTTTTCCATGGATAAGAATTTATGAGCCAGTGTCCAAATTCGTGAGGTGTGTGTTCGGAAGTGCACACTCCTGCAAATCTATTACCAAGTGTTAAACAAAGTATATCCGAATTGACTTAAATACTTTGTTACCATCTTGTGTACTATTTTCCGTAAACATTTTACCATATCGTCACAATATTTTCTACCTTACATTACATAAGGTTATAGTACAATTCCTCCCCATTCGTTGACTAAGTACATCAGTGCTAGTCCGCGTTAAACTTGTCAGTCCAGTGTAGTCGTCAAAAGGTCACACCTCAATCTTTTTAAGGGGGGAGGGTGACGAGAAATCAGGTGACAGGGAGACAATCTGTGGTGAATGATGGGATAAATACCGCGCGTCACAACCAATGTAAAGACATTGTTATACGACAACTTTCTCTACGTGAGCGAATTATGACGACACAAGCAGGTGAAAATGCCGCGAGCGACTAGCTCACAAAAGACCAGTGCGTATACGTAATATGGAAGTGTAACGTTAGTCAGTTCAGAGACGTCTCTGGTCAGTTATTGTATTCCTTGCACGAAGTTATCGCGCCAATTGTCATCAATAGACAAGAGACAAACTTGTCGATGTCGCTATAACTGAGTTTTAGCGTGATCACGGCGATAGTTTGCATGCCCATCAATCACAACCTCCAATATACAGCGAAGATAAGAAAATAAGTAGAGAAGAAAAATAGTTTGAAGTAATGGGAGATAATTCATTCCTTTTGGGTTCCTCCTTAGGGGATTATATCGGACGACGAGGGATATTGCCAAACGTCCGATATAGAAGAGTCCCAAGGAGGAATCCCAAAAGGAATGAACATGTCTACCTCTTACCGTTCACGAATTGGTTACTGTGTTGTAGAAGGAATGCATTCATGTTACGGTATCATCTCTGCCACATTTCCAGCAGTTACTGCAAACGGTGACCATTACACGTTGTCAAATTTATTGATTATTTTGTGATATTTGAAATCTCACCGTTACATATCTGATATTTATGAAGACATGATCTTTTTAATGGTATTTATTTATCATTAATTTTCCACTTATTTATCCAAGTATTTCTCAAGGTGTGTTTTATGGTCTGTCAGTGTTATCATAACTAATGCTGAAGATCATTAAAATGTTTTAATATTGCACAAATATTATCATATACAATAGTTTCAATGTGTTGTAACCCAAAGATACAATAGCACAAAGTTCACAATACAAAAATGTCAGATTTAAAGTACCAATAGGTTTTATTTACTTTAAACAATAATTCATTCAACAATCTAACACATACATATAATACTATTAGATGGAAAAAATGTTTATTATTTTGTCAGACAAACATACATTTCTGATTTATTGAACATGCTGGCTGATCAATTGATATTCCTACATGAAGTAGTCATTCATCAACCAAAGAAAATGGTTTGCATAAAGATCATGTTGGTTATCACTCAATTATCAAACTGCAATAAAAAGAGTTGTTCCCTTTAAACCTTATTTTACAAAACCTTATCACTGATCACCAAATATTAGACTGAACATCAACATTCCAGTCAAATACAAACTCTTACAAATAGATTGGAAATCTCTGAAATCAATAAATAATATATCTTTGGAAAAATTTATTCCTATTCACTTATTTCCTTCTCACCCTCTGTTGTCTCTTTCACATTCGGAATTATTTGTTTCTCATGCACACAAATTCTTACTCTATTGTCTATAGCGACAGGGTACATGTACATCCATCCTTTCTATGTCTCCTTTCTATCTACCATTTCACCATTTTCGCTTCTCAGTTCCTCTTCTTTCTTAGAACCCCTCAACCTCACAAACATAAAAACAAACACACTCTTGGCCATTTTCAGTAGGGTTTCTACTTTCTCTTTAGCATTCATTTCATTCTTCTTCTCTTATTCACTTTGTGTGACACATAATTTAAGTACAGATATGGATTCAACCATATCAGTCCTGTTGCATCATAGACATCACTGTATTGTCAAACAACCTGCAAAACAAGAAAGGATATACAAGTTCAGAATTATTACATTACCGTATTTCTAATAAGTGAGGTTCTTAATAACTATTGACTATTCTTGTTTAAAAATTTAAGTCAGTCAAGTTAAGCCAGATTGAAAGACACGAGCATATTAATTTCATTACTCAGGAGGTAACTGAAATGTGTGGTTAAACATGGCAATACATGTGACCACACACTTTGCACGTCCTTTCTCTAAATCAAACACCGCCCGACTTGTTGAGAGAGAGAGCGAGTTACTTGGGCAGCCAATGCTCCAAGCAACTACACAAGACTGAAAATTTACCAGTAGGCTTTGTCATCAAGTACTCTGATAGAATCTTCTACAAAAATCTTACAGCACCTTTGAGTACAAGTATATGCTTGGTGACCGCATTGAAAATACCGACATCTCAACAGAACTTTAATTCAAACTCAAAAAGGATCTTGTATGAGTTTCCATTTCATATCTGATAGCTAAATATTGTCAAAAGTTTTCATTTCAGCTTGTCAAATAAAGATTTTTTAAATTTGTTTCAATGTTTACTTGTATAAGATTCCATATTTAGGAAAATCTGGAACAATTAGTTGTAAAGAAAGCTCATCACATTACAGACTCGCCTAAAGAAACTTACCTTGAGGATATGTTCTCTCCTGGAGTGTAAAAAGGATTACAAAGCATGTCTACGTAGCCATTGTGGAGTTTACGAAACATCTGAAAATTCATATATATTCATATATATTACAGCATAAAATGGTTTGTGAGAAGTGTCAGTGCAGCTATCATAAAATTTGAGACACATCTAAAAAAAATTTTTTCATTATCTCTTAAAGATTTCATCAAATATTTTTAGAAGCAGGATTATTGTACAACTGCTAACTGAAACAAGAAACAAAATCTTTACTAAACAGTCTCTTATGTTTTGATTTTGTGACACTGTTTGTGTTTAAAACAAAACTTTCTTAATCTCATTAATAAAAGATGCAAGTATAATGTTAAAATGATAGCTTTCATAAGAGAAAGAAATATTGAATAAAAGATAGGGAGAGCACAAGAAATTCTATAATTTTGTTGACAGCCTCAAAACATTGCCTCCTCAGATCATGAAGTCATCTTTAGGTTTATATCGGTGACAGTACTTTTTGGCATTTAAATATTTCATTACTGGACTCATGCTTTTCTTATGAGACTTTCTCAAATTTGAGAATCCATTTTATTTCTTTGTGACTTGGCTCATCAAAATTTTTGGAAATGGTGCTCTGGACTCAACAGAAAAAATCCTACAAAAACTGCTTTGTGATAAAGCTGATATGACTCACCCCGCGTATCTCATTGTCTCTAAGACTGGTATTAGACGACTCCACCACAATGACAAACTTCACCTTCGTATTGGTAACATAGCCATATCTATTCAGTAAAAGTTAAGGCACTGTACAGTAAGTGTCTGTTTGCTTGTACATATGACTTTAACATGGTACTCTAGGTGTAATTCTGATTACTCTTATCAACTTAGGTATTTTGAGATCTAGTAATACTGTGAAGCATTTCTGAGTAAGATATATTTTCTATGGTAAAGAATAAATTGGAAGGTCTGGTATAATTTTACTTAAACAAATTAAAAGGAAAGAAAGTCCAAAAATTACATAGGAAAAAATCATTTGACTCACAGAACAGATATGATTTTTTCTTTGATCTTCAATTAGTTTATCCTTAATTTGGCTTCACGTCTTTAAATATGTTACAATAAGATCTCCAGTTATTTAATCTTGCACATGATAAAACAGTATGTGTAAGTCATCAACTAATAGAAAGGATACACTTTATAGTCTTCAGTTGGGTAAAGAAGTCCCAGATACAGCTCCCTCAAGTCATTGGTATTTTTCCCAACTGAAGAAATCTTCTCCTCCACAACATCTAAGGATGTGTGAACTGTATATTGAAACTTCAACTCATTATCTGTTGGTATTGTCTTTATATACAATGGGTAGTTCTGAAATATGAAATTACTGTTTGCATATACCCTCAAAGGGAAGACACAAATTTACATGCCCATTTCTTGTGCATTCTTCATACATGATACAGTAATATTTGTGCAGTTTATGGTTAGATGGATTACACTAGCAAACTATTAAGTTTTGATGCATTTTCAGCAATGTAAGTATTGTGCATAGAGTTATCTTAGGTAGCAAGCAAAGTGTAAATGGTAGAGGATATCCCCCTATGATTTTTTTAATTCCACAAACTGTACATGCACAACTAAGAACTATGGGTTACCTATATCTTTTAATTATCCAATTCTAAATATTAAACCTATCTGGTAACACAAGTCTGGAATTCATCCGATACCTATACCCAACATTAGACATTTTGACCAAGACAGTCAAAAGTCTGCTGTGAAGGTTTCAAACATGACTATCATTTTAATTTTACGTCAAACAAAACTAAAATAGATGTTCCCGTCTCCCGACCTGGAGAAGTGTGGACAAAACGAATTAGCTTGTTAGCTGCCAGCAGTGCGAGAACTTATTTCGAAGGGCCTGGCACAGTGTTTGTGATCATATATCAACATATCATATCAGCTATTGTTTTCATTTCTTTAGCGACAAATTTTGCGGTACACTGACTGATCATTATACTACCTCCTTAGCTATGACAGCAACACACACCGCCATCTTCTGCTGGGTTTACACGGAACTCCTCGGACGCGATTAATGTAGTCGCCGATAAAATATTCCGAAGCGGATACCTTAATAAAGTAAAACGATAATTTTTCCGGGATTACCATTAAAGAAGCTTTGTCCCATTTTTCTTCGCTTAAGTCGATCAACGATGAGAAATTTATCATAAAATGTTGTATTATTCATCAAACTCTAATGTTACTCTTTACATCTCAATTAGTATCAATACGGAGGTTCCCCTTTGTCGCCATCCACGATACTCCAGGGGTCACGATAAAAAACATTGAAGAAAACACCAATTTGTCAACATTATCATAACCCAAACCCAAATTTAATAAAACAGTGGCAAACTATGAACAAAAGAAAAAATTACATCTAGATTCCTGAAAAGTTATCAGAGAATAAGACCAAGTTTTGCGGAAGAGCAATCATCCTTTGCTTCATCGACGAAATCCACCAAATAAATCTTGGTCAATCCAAGCAGAGACGGATATATCACATGTGATATATATACGTCTCTGATCCAAGTAAGCAATGTCGGGGTCTCAAATGAGAAAAGGGTATACATATAACAATGCAACTAACAGGTAAAGCATCAAACACGTCCAGCTTCATACCGAATAAAAATATATTAATTTCCAATAAGAGCACTATGACGACCGAGAAACTTCCCGATAATTGGCACACTGTATCTTCTGAAACAACGTATTACGAGTTTGTGCATCAGTTGACGATTCTTGTACGACATTCGTGACAATGGAACCAGACCTTTGGATATCAAATCAGAAACGTTTGTGTTTAGAACCTGCTTTGACGGTGGGCGTCGTTCCTCTGTAATAGTCAAAATAGTGTATCAATCTGTGATTGGTCAGCTTTTTACTTTTTAACGTTACCGTATAATTGATTTACCCGTTCACTAACTGGAGCAATTTATAGGACCCCGTCAAATCCGAGAGAGAAGAGCTCCAGCTCTTTTTAAAATTCTATTAGGTCTGAACAGAAGGTAAAATGGGTAATTTCAATTACAAACCTGTGAACTGAATGTACTCTAAACGAGTAACACAAATTCTTAACAGCGGTTCACGATCAGTTACTAAGGAGTTACTGTAGATATTCGACTACAGACTCGACCGGGGTCGTCAGTACTGGTAGCAATACTGATAATTGAATCAAAGCGAAGAGGAGAAAGATATTAAAATGTAAGACATTTCTCGGGAAAACTGACCGTTACGTGTAATGGTGTATGCTTCTTCTCTACAATTGATATTTCCACCTTAGAAACAAAATAAGCACTATAAAAGGGAACTACGACGGTATGAGAATCGATGTAGAAAACACAGACAACCTAAATTGGTTCAGAACGTACGGTCTACACATATTGTTCTTTACAAACGAATTCCCAAAGTTGATGATACGAAAAATAGATCAGAGCAGAAATCCAAGTCAATGATGGCCGAGTTCATCTCTGTACTTATCTATTTAAGAATGTATACCCTTTATTAGTAAATCTTACAAATTTTGAACGGTAACTAAGAATATTGAGATATCAAAACAATTTAAAAGAAAAAAACCCCACCCCATCCACCCCTTTAGATATAAATATATCCAACCCGACCATTCTTTTTTTCACATCACATCATACACTTACAACATCAGGAAATCAAAAAAACTCTCTTCATATACTTATAACCCAATTAGATTAACAATGCGGAGTTCATAGAAAATTCTCTAAAACTTGAGGACCGTGCCCGGCTAGAGACCGAGGGGTTGTACTTCCAACTCCGCTGCAAAGTTTTCATTACTCATTCCTATATAAGGAACCCAACCCCACTCATATCCAACCCTTACCTAAACCCCTCTGGATCCGCTTAAACAAAATGTGAAATACAGGCAAATGTTGCTGAGCCGCATGCGTCGTTGTAAAATTTTCTCTACGATCCCCGCATAATGGCTCGTTACCATATATGATTTCCAGGTGAGCTCGACACCTTAAATTATTTTTTCCGGAATTATTTGCCAGCATTCCGTTTCGAAAAATACAACGTACAGTGGCGATCTCCCGCCATTGAAGAGGAAAGGTGTCTTAAGTTCGCTGACTGTGCATGAAACACAGTCATGGCGAATCTTCACGCCGACAAAGATGCCTTTTATAGACGGATGGGAAGATTTTATTCCGCATGGAATGTAAGTATTCGTTTGTCATGTATGATTAAATGTGAACCAAACCTTGAGCGAGCCCGAAGATTGGATGGCATTTTTTTTTATTTACGCACGTGAGATCGTTGTAAACAATGCTGGACGGTTGGTTTGAGCGTCGTATTGTGAAGGAATGGACGGAAACGTGACAATCTGCAATATAAGTGATTGAGAAAGAGATCATGGCTGTTATTTTTTTTTGTGTGTAAACTTGCCATCACTTCTGTGATTCAATACAGGATCACCTTAGCACTAAGAGGGTCAATTGGGCATGGAGTGTTCAAAATGGGAGTCATTTGAAAGGAACTTTAGGAAAGGGGTCGAATAATAAGTTGATATTTGCAGGCTGCCAGCAGTCGATAAAAGGTTAAATGTAATGTTTTAGTCGATATGATTGTTTCCTAAACCATAATATTGGGATTCCCGTAACATCATTATCGACTGTTGAAACAACTCCAATCTAGACCATTTGTATTAGGGAGGTCGGCGACGGTCATTTACAGGCTTATTACGTTCTGTTGGAGCAAAAAACCCCATTTTTTCGGGTTTTTCACACTAAAATTAAAATATCAAATAAGCGTAGTTGGGGGATAGAAATATATCAAAATAAAGTTCAAGACTTCTATTTTCTTATTTTGGTAATTATTTTGTAATAAGATATAAATTCCTACCATTGCATGGAGTTCGAAGTGAAGTCGTTTCCAAAAATTCGGCCGCCATGTTGATTTATGTGTCAACAAGTGTGCCAAGTTCAGAATTAAATCCGCTGGCTATTACTGGACCAATTTTTACCATTAATGGCTTAAAATTTAGGAAATATAGTCTAGTTTTTGAAACTGAGTGATCTCTTTTGAAAAAGTATAGGGATCACACTGTAAAAAATATAAATTTGCAAAACAGTGTTTTTTTACCGTGATATCACTTCGCCGCGAACAGGGATCACTTGGATTATGGTAGCCTGGACCTTCATCTAGCGATTGGTAACCAAGGTTTCAACAAAATAACAAGAGCAGCCAGCGGAAATCATTGGATATTTGAATGACTTTTGCCACAATGTTTTGTTTGTATGAGTTATCGAACTTTGCTGCTGCTGCAGGCCGGGTGCAAATCCTCCCGACCCGGTAAACAAAATTGACCAATGGGACATCAGTATGTCCATTCGGAACATTTTGGGGTTTTTATGTTAAATATCAAAGGAAACATTCGATTTTCTTTAGGATTTATATAAAAGTATGTTTTAGAACAAAAGAAAAAAGGGGGGGGGGGGGGGGGGAATAGTTGCTGTGGTTAAGAAAAATATGTTTGGGGGTATAACAAAAACATTTTCTGAACACAGAACCATACTTTACTTTTCTTAATCTTTTAAGTCACAAATACAAATTATTTTCCATGAAATAAATGAATGAACATTTGATGAGAAAACAATTTTCTCTGTAAAATATCATGATTATACTCCCTCTCAACTAGCCCATTCTTCTTAACTCAGAAAGTTGATTTTGGTCTATATCTTGGTTGTTAAATTCCTTCTGAATGTAAGAACTGCCCTTCTTTATCAATGCAAGGGGGTATTGTTGAAGTGAAAGAAAGTTGTTTTATTTATTTTGTTGAAATTCTTTATATTTTTAATTGTTTTGCTAATTTATGACACTTTTTAAAATCTCTTTTATTTATTTAAGTTTTATTTTACCTTATTTTGGTTTCTTTTTAAGTTGTCAAATTTTTCAGAGGAAGAATAATAATTGTGATTTATTTTATTTAATTTTTAATCTAAATAAATCTTTTTCTAAAAAAAAAAAAAAATTATTTTGATTTATTTTCTTTTTAGTTTGTTTACACGCTCTGATATACTGATTTTCATTTTATTTTTGGTAAGTGTGATAAGTTTTATTTACAATCCAATACACTTTTTTATTTGCAGTTTGATAAGTATGTGATGATTGTTTTTACTTTTTTTTCAATACTATCAATGAATTAATTAGATAACAATTTTTATGACCGTTAAATTTTAACATTGATGTTAAAAATAACTTATGCTAGATAATGACAGATTTACCTATTTTTTGTGCTTTTATCTTAATCTTAAGGATAAACTTATAAAGACAAGAATAACCATGTTTCAACTCTTAAGGCTTATAAAAGGTGAACTAATATCAACAGGAACATTTTTTCTCAAATGATATTGTTTGTAGGAGTAAAAAAAAAATTGGGGGGGGGGGTTCACCTTCTGAGAATGTTTGATTTTGGGGTAGGGCTAGGTTTTTATAGAAATACTTGGTGCTGTTAATAGATAGAGGTACAAATATGTGCTAGTTGCATTCTACATATTTCTATCTTTAAAATGATACCTTATACACCATACAATAGTTTATATTCTTCTCGCATTTCATGATTAAACACAAATTTCAGGTTTTATCCAAAATTTTCAAAACGTAGAAAAACAACCTTAAATGTTGCAAAAAATTGTTGTTTTGAGTTAAAACTTGATCATTTGTATGTAGAAATAAGCATTCTTATATAAATTGTCATTTTATTACCACCTGGGAGTAGTTGAAGATCTTTTTGTCCTGAAAAAATGTTATTTTTCGTCTTTTCGGGGCTAAAAATATACCTCTTTGGCAGCTGTATTTTGGAGCTGTTGCTTTCAAAAAAATTTTTTAGGGGAAATATTACATATTTTCTGATAAAACATACAAAGATCAACAAGAAACACCATATAAAAAAAATTCCAGATTTTTTTTGAGCTTTCTGCATCAAAAAAGTCATTTTTTCTGAAATTTTCGATTTCGTCTCAAAAAGGGGCTGCGCAGGGTATTTGATATCAAAATATTAAAAAAAATAATGATCTTAAACCCTAACTGGAATTTTTTTTCAAGAAAATGCATTGTGATCTGTAAAAATAAGGAGATTTGGATAAATTGGGTGATTACTTTTTAAGATAAAGTTCTTCAAAAGTGGTAGTCTAGCAAAGAGGGGTGCCGACACATTTCTCAAAAAAACTAAGTCCAAACGAATAATTCCTCATGTTCAGCTGCCAATTTTTTTTTTATCTGTCCCCACCTAAACTAAGTAAATGTTTCTTTTTGAAGCTTAAGGGGAACTTGGCACCCTACAACAATCAGACAATACATATCATAACCATATTTTCAGATATAAGGCCTCAAACATGCCTCTTTTAGGGACTATTTGCTAAAAACAGAAAAAGGGTCGCTTTTCGAGGTACAAAAATTGATGTAACTTTTGAACCGCTCAACCGATTTCCAAAATTTTTGCACCAAAATTCCTCTTTCTTTGAGTTTTGTCCAAAAAACATGTTTTAAAATGTTTTCTAGGTGGTTCATTTTTTGAGCTGACCTCCCTATTTGTATTGTGGAAATACTATCAGAACATAACGTACAAAAATAACACAGACACCCCTCTGTTGATATCTATTTAACAAAAAAATCAGTTGGATGTTATGTCAATTAATGAGTATGAAAGGATTTAACCACATTAGAATTGATATTACTTAATGAAATATAATCTAAATCCACAGAAATAAAGTTACCTCCCTGATTTAGGACTTAGACGGAAATTGAAAAGAACCATTCAGGACCTGAGCAAGAACTTGTTAATCACATCCCTGAAAAGTTTTGAAAGTCCTTGAATGTAACATCAAAAAGTCCTGGAAAAAAGGTTTTTGAATTTGATGTCATAAAGTCTGTATGAACCATGTAATGTTTTAATTGTGTTACAGAAAGCATCTGGTGGTGAACCCTTAGCCCAGGTGGACGCATTGGTCGCTGCTGTAGGAGTTGACGAGGAAGTTGTGTACTCAAAATCTACAGCACTACAGGTATGTTACAATTAGGGATAGGTATCGTGAGAATTTTCATATTGCGATATATCATGATACATGATCAGCATATCGTGATACGTATCATGATATTTCACTGTAAGAAGAAATCCATCCATTTTCTTTAAGCGAAACAGTAATGCAGATTATACAATAAAACCAAATGCAAAACAACAGTTGGATTTTTAATTATTTAAAATCTTCTTTTAGATATTAGATATCCAAACTCAAACTCATATGTCGTAATTCCGGGTTTTTAGTACTAGTAGTAACACTGCATGATGATGATGATGGAACGCTCGTCGGATGATGGCGTCTTAAGTGAGTCGTAAGATTAGTTGTTCCGTTGCTGCACTTAACTACAGCTCTACAAATGTTGCACCCAGCAACATTTTCTTCGCTTCTAGCTTCCCCCTTCCAAACAATTAGGCCGAAGTGCTTCCAAACATCAGCCTTTCCCTTTGGGTTTTTCACTATGCTATCGTCCGTGCCTATGAAGGCCGCCATTTTGGATACGTTACTAAGCACTCGACGATGGATTCATCAATACTTATCGTCTCAAAAACATTATAAATTTGGATGAATTATCACAGTATTACAGATTTATGGATAAAAATAAAAGTATAAATGATTTTCATTACTAAACGAACTTTTCACGGAAACTCATGATGATTCCAGAGAGGCTCCCAGTGAGAGTGAACCGATACATCTAAGTCGTACCGCGATACATATTTTTTTAGGTCACCTGAGCAGAAGGCTGACCTATTGCCATCATGATTTGTCTGTTATCGTGCATCGTGCGTCGTTAACTTTTTATACATATTCGACTTCTTCTCAAGAACCACTGAATGGATTTTGACCAAACGTGGTACACAGTGGTACGAAGAAAAAGGGCATGGCCCCAATAGGGGCCCCAGGATGGGGGAAAAGGGGACACTTGATAGGAATGTTCTACACAAGGTCTTGGCAAGTGTTTTAACTTTTTGGGGGCGATTCAAAATCCAAGATGGCCACCCTGGCCTCTGTTTGGCTGATATTATGGACTTCCTCTTAAGAACCATTGGATGGGTACAGATGTTTTACACATGGTCCTGCACACGTGTTGCTACATTTTTGCAACATTTTAAAATCCCCAGATTATTGACATATATTCCTCAGGTGACCGTTAAGGCCCCTTGGGCCTCTTGTTAATGATGAACCTTGATATACCGGTATACTGATAATACCTCACACCCCTAGTTACAATGTTCAAATCATATTTAAACTTATAAAATTGGTAAATCATCTAGATAGTTTGCTACATGCTGTAAATGGGTTTGAATAACGGGTCTTCATTTGCAACTAATTGATGGAACCCATCACTTTTTAAATTATCTATCATTGAGAAAATCATGTTTAGATAACTTACAGTATCAATATTTTCCAATATTTCAGCATATGCTTTTTTTTTTATAAAGATTAGAATTTATGTTTTTTTAAATGTATATTTTCAGACTTGGCTGTTTGGATATGAACTGACTGACACCATCATTGTCTTGTGTGAAAATTCTGTCAACATTCTTGCTAGTAAGAAGAAAATAGAATTTCTAAAACAGGTGGATTCCACAAAGGAAAATGATAATGGTGTCCCATCCATCAATCTTCTTGTTAGAGATAAGGTGAGTATTGATATATTTCCTATTTCAAAAGATGATATTAAATAGAATAGAACTCAGGCTTATTTGCTATCAAATCAATTAATTTCTAATTATTAAGCGATTACTGACTTAAGAGAATTATTTGTTTTTAAGGACATATATTACCTTACTAAGATTTACTTTTCAAAAGAATTTTAATAATAAAATTCAGTGGTCAAATATCCTGGAGATTTCATAACTTAAGGTAAATATGTTTCTGAAAAATTACAAACTTTAAAAATTATATATGTATATACACCTCACATGCTAGATACAATCTTCTCTTCTTTACAGGGTGACAAAGACAAAGCTAACTTTAAGAAGCTAGTGTCTGCTATAAAAGAAAGTAAAAAGGTAACATAATTGTTTGACATTTCACTTTTTAGCCTAAATGCAATATTCTCAAGTGTCCCATCAGCTCGTATTATGTTAATATTAATTGGGCAATTTATTGAAATCAGAGTATGATATATTTGTAGCATAGGATATTTTGAAAAAATAGCTTTTGAGAAAGGTGATACTTAAGTTTTTCAACAGGAATAATGATATATGTAACTTCTCCTTCTTTTCAAAGTACTATCTCTCTCTTATTGGTTGTACTTGTCTACTTACAGGGTAAAACTGTTGGAGAATTTTCAAAAGACAAATTTCCAGGCGATTTCATGAGCTTGTGGCGAGCTGCTTTGAAAGGAGAAGGCTTTGAAAAAGTATATAATGTCCACATGATCATCACTTTTACAAACTTTTGTGTTGACAAGGAATAATTTCTCATGAAACAGTATGCAGCTGGTTTAATATTATGCAAAGTATCAGACAAGAAAAAATCAGGTGTTGTGTCACAACAGTGGCATGCAAACGAATAGCCTTTATATGGTAATTTAGAATTGTTCATGGGCTACTTCAAATCAAATAGAAATAAAGGATTGTTACAGTGTATATAAAATCTGATGTATATATCAAATCTAAAAACAATTATTTGAATTTAGGATGCCAATATATGATATTGTATCTTCACAGATTTTGGGTAAGATCACAATAAAAAGAAAAAGTAGATTATCAGGTTTTTATTAGAAACGCAAATGAAGATCTTTCATTTAATTATTTCTGAGGCAATCTCTCTTGTGAGGTATTTCATCTTTCTCTGTGAATAAATCCTAATACTTTTTTGATGTAAAATGTAAATGAAACCCGATATACAGTACTCCGGAATGAAGATACATAGCATGCCAGGAACTGATAGGAAGTATATTCCAGTATAAATGTAACATAGTGCATTTAACCAGTTTAAAAATCAAACACACTTGATAGAGAGGGAAGAGAAATTGTCAAAGAAATGTGTTTTTATGTGTGCTTCCCATTATAAATAACTAAAACTGGTTACAATATGAGATGATCAGTTGCTCCTTTTACTAGTTGGATGTATTACTAGGTTCTCTAACATCTAGGTATTATGAATAAATGTTTTAAAATGTCCTTTTTTGGATACCAAAAGATATGCAGAGCAAATCAGAGTACACAGTAAATCTTTTTTCAAAGAGTTAATAATCCACGATATTGACTTTTGCAGACTGCTTTCATTCAAGACACATTTCATGAATTTATAAAAGGCCATTTGTGATAAAGATATGTTTTTGATTGATTTAAGAAGGAAAACCATTGATTGTGTTATTCATTTCCTATATTAACTGTCATGTACTGTCACATGCAGGTCGATGTCAGTTCTACCATGGCATATGTGATGGCTTCAAAAGAGGAATCGGAGGTGAAGGTCATTCAACGTGCCTGCACTGTTACCTGTGATATCTTCACAAAGTATTTGAGAGATCAAATCATGGAGATCATTGATGCAGAGAAGGTGAGAATTTTGTGATACACGTACTTCAAGATTATGTCTAAAATCATAAATAGTAATGTCTGTGTAACTTGCTTTTTCCAAAGGAGCTATATGTATGTTAAGCTCTGAGTAAATAAAACAAAGTGTTGAAAACTATTGAAATTCAATTTTCAATAAACATCTTAATGTAAAGCTCTTGCAAAATTCTGTTAATACTTTATATTTCATCAAAGGCCATTTAAATACCGATTTAACCATATTTCACATGGAGATGAAGGTCATTGAGTGTGGTTAACCATTCAGATACTGATTTAACTATATTTCACATGTCCATGATCATAATTCTGGATTCTTTTATAAAACTTCCTTTTATTGCTTCATATAAAGGAACTTTTGTTATCTTTTCCAACTTGCTAAAGATATTTACAAACTTTTGAAAGGTTTTTTTTGCTATCTGCATGTGGTCTAGATCATGTTGTAGATATTTTCCCCACTATAACTTTCACACTTAAGCTAAATTGATCTTTTGGTCTACTTTTTAGAAAGTGAAACACTCCAAACTGGCTGATGGAGTTGAATCTGCCCTTCAGAACAAAAAATATGTTACTGGCGTAGACACATCACAACTAGATATGTGTTACCCAGCTATCATACAGAGTGGTGGCAAGTACAGTTTGAAGTTCAGCACCACCAGGTACAGTTTTAAATCATTTTCATTTTGGGGGAATTTTTTTTTTCTTTTTGTCTTTTATCTTCAAATTTTTGGGACAAAATCTTGAATGAAGAATAAATTCCCCTACATTTTGGTGGAAGGTTTACGACCTGTTTAGCTTTTAGAGGCAGTATTTGCAGTCTTGTATTTATTCAGACACAATAGAAACATTACTTTCTAACTTGATAACTTAAAAAGAGCAACATCAGATAGGTTGATATTGCTGTTATACATTGTTTTATGTCATTAGAAAATTTTCTTTAATTCCTTACAGACCGTGCCTGTATAATAAAGCTTAAATTGAAATATTGCTTGTGTGACATTGACTTATCGACCTGAAAATGTTTGGACTCAAATCATTTTTTGATGCATCCCTCTTTTATTGATTTATTGAATTTTTGGTCTTGATTCTTGATTTTATACTCTCTTGTCCTGTGCTAAAATAAAATGCCACCACAACAAATAATGACTATGATTTGTGATATGGGACAGACAGAAAGTAAATTGCACACAAAAGTTTTTCTGCTGATAAATCGGATGTATTCCCTCCTTACTGACTCCAGTTCTCTAAGGAGGAGTGTTCAATGCTTAAGCAAACCTGATATATACTTGCATCTATGCATGGCCATCCCAATAGACAGTTCAGCTTTTGAATTTTACATGTATTTGACCATAAATTTAAATTTGTTAAAACTATGATGAAATTTGTTTCTTTGGAAGTGCAAGTGCTTTCATTTATCAATGTACCTGTTGTAGCAAGTTCATTTCGGACTTACCTGTTGTAGGAGTTAATCTGGGACTTAAATGTTACCTGTTGTAGCGAGTTCATCTCAGACCTACAGGCAGGTTTGGATAAATTTAAGAACTTCACAATTTTGGAGATTTTGAAAAACATACCTGTAAAATCTTGAAGAGTGAGTTTGCGGAAATTACAACATAAGATATGATACATGCAATATGTTTTCTTTAGTCCTGATGACATGGAAAAGTAGGAACACACAAGACAATTACTGTACATGTTATGATTTTCTAGTATCTTCTACCTAATTATTTGTGTGTTTAGTGATGACAGTGTGCTCCACTTTGGGACCATTATCTGTGCAATGGGAGTACGGTACAAATCCTACTGCTCCAATATTGTTCGTACACTGTTTGTGGACCCTACAGAGCCAATGCAGAAAAATTATGAGTTCCTCACTCTGGTGGAAGAGGAAATTCTTGTGAAACTTCAAGATGGTAAGACTTTATACTGCAAAATACTGTTTATCAGTTTTATTGATGACAAGAATTAAAGAAGTTGGCAGAGTTTAGTGTTCAAAAGATAGTTTTTATACGCCGAAAGACGGACGTATTATGGTATCGCACTGTTCGTCCGTCCAGTGTAAACTTTTATTTGTGCGGAGATCTCCTCCTACATTTTTCAGCCGATCTTTATGAAACTTGGTAGGCTTAATCACCATGATATGAAGTTGTGTTTTCCTGAAAAAAAGGGGGTTTTGATTTGGTGATTTGAACAAGAGTTATGGCCCTTTGTTTATTTCACTATAGAAATCTTGTCCGGAGATCTCCTCCAACATTTTTTAGCCGATCTTTATGAAACTTGGTAGGCTTAATCACCATGATATGAAATTGTGTTTTCCTGAACGGAGTTTTGATTCGACGATTTGAATAAGAGTTATGCCCCTTTGTTTATTTCACTATAAAAATCTTGTCTGGAGATCTCCTCCTACATTTTTCAGCCGATCTTTATGAAAGTTTGTATGCTTAATCACCATGATATGAAATATAAAAATCTTGTATGAATATTTCCTCAAACCGATGTTTATGAACTCTTGTAGGTTTAATCTCTATAACATGATTTTATTTTTCTGAATGGAGGTTAATTTTACCTCACCAAAGGCTCTGTTTCATAAATTCCTCCTACTTTTTCGATTTTGGTAGAGGACACCAAGATCCATTCATAGTTCTCTATTACCAAATTTTAACCAACATTTTGCTAGTCACATGTACACTTACAATGAGACTCATCTGAATGGGCCTCTAATTAGTCCCCCCACCAGGAACCAGTATGGGGGGGGGGGGGGCTATAGTTTTGTGTCGATTCTGTCTGTCCTTCCGTTCGCCCAGCAATCTTGTCTGTACTAACTCCCATACAATTTCATACTGGAACTTAACTTGGCATGTGAATGCACCATGGTGAAACAGCGTGTCCCATGCAAAATGTAGGTCACTGTGACCTTGACTATCAAAGAAAACCTTGTCCTACACCAATTGATACTGAAACGTGGGTGCACCATGGCGAGACGGTATGTCGTGTACCAAAAGTAGGTCACTGTGACCTTGCCTTCAAGATTTGACTTCTATCAAAGTACACCAGGTGGAGGACTATAATTCTTGAATTATCTTCTTTGTTTTGGATATTCACGGGCGTATTTTGTTCCACTTTGCGGTAATCATTAAAATGGCTTAATGTTCTGTCATTGCTTTTTGAATACCATATTTATCTGGCACTAAACTTTATGCCTAGTAAAACGACTTATATTTTTAAGAATTATGAATAACTATTGTTGTTACTAAATAATTCCACACCCTGACTTCTGAGTTAGGTAATAATTGGTTGGCTTTTTGGATATATTGCAGGAGACATACAGTTATTGTCATCTATTGAAATTGTCACTGTTAAATGCCTTTACATTTCAGTTACACTTTCTAAAGAATAAAGGTGTTATTTACTGTCATTAGTTTTGTATAACAGTGAGAGCTTCCTGAGGAACATTCTAAAAATGTTTTAATGGACAAACTGTAATCAATCTTTTCCTCTTTGATGTAAATGCATCATCAGCTGGGTTTCAATGTGTATTTTGGCTAGAAAAAATTGAAATAAGGCTTTTTCCAGGGACTCTGTAGGGCTGAACATGGGCCCCATTCCCAATTGGATTTATTTCATAATATGGCAAAATTCAAAAAAATTTTAGTTTACTCCTTCAAATTCCTCCCTAGTTGATCATTTTTGTTCCCAAAATGAAATAAAAAGGTCCATGCCTAAATGAATTGCCATTTTAAATTTTTGTCTTAACAGGTGTTAGACTTAGTGAAGTGTATGAACATACTGTGAGCTACGTCAAGAAGGAGCGACCGGAATTACTAGACAAAATGACCAAGAATATTGGGTTTGCAATGGGTATCGAGTTCAGAGAAGGTTCACTTCTTATCTCAGGGAAGTCTAACATCAGAGCAAAGAAAGGTAAGACATTAAATACAAGAACTATCTGTCATTAGATAGATAACATTACATGTTTTATGGTGCTGAAAGCATTCGGTTAATGGCATTTTCACATTACTACATTATCCTAAGAATTCCTTTTGGTTTTTTTTATCAAAATCATTGAAGGCCTGATCAATTAACTTCAATATAGGAGATTTGAAAATTCATGTCTTTGATAATGTTAAATGTTGACAACAAAGGGGAGGCAAGTTTGTCTAATAAATTTTTAAAATAAAGTGTTTATATCATGTACATTTCAAAATGAAATTTCAATTTGACAGGGATGGTTTTCAACATCAATGTTGGTTTTTCTGACCTGAAGAACAAAGGAGCCAAAGACAAGGATAGTGAAGTGTATGCTGCCTTTCTGGGTGACACAGTCATGGTCAATGAGGTACATTGATTGACAAGGATTGTCATTGATTACATTCACACTGTCTCCTGGTGTTGGTCTATCAGAGGCAGCTTGGTCATAGTAAGGACTCCGCACGTCTTTGGCCGAAAGGTCACATTTGACAACTTCTGTTAATTTTATCAAACGATACCTATATGCATGAAAGGGGATGGGAGAGGGGGGCGGGGAGCATGTGTTTGAGATTTTCTACTTTATCATTTGTTTATATGATAATTGTATGGTAATTTAGATCTTATTTCTACTGAAGGATGACTGATAGTAGTGTGTAAAATAAGATTATGCTGTTGAATTGATTTACAAACATGAATTAAAATACAATATAACTTAATAAAGCCTGGTTATCATCTAGACTCACTTTTTACACAGGGGTCACCTTGCACATTACTGACAACAATGAAGAAGAAAATTAAGCATGTAGGAATTTTCCTGAAAGATGAAGAAGAGGAGGAAGAGGAAGAAGAGGAGGAGCCAGAACCAGAAGCACTCTTAGGACGAGGACAAAGGAATGCTCTACTGGGTACTAGGACTAGGGTGAGTTACTAGGGAGTAGGTCAAAGGTCAGTTACTGGAGACTAGGAATAGGGGGAGCTACTAGGGATGGGGTCAGAGGTCAGGTACTGGAGCTACTAGGGAGGGGGTCAAAGGTCAGTTACTGGAGACTAGGATCAGAGGTAGCTACTAGGGAGGGAGTCAAAGGTCAGTTACTGGAGACTAGGACCAGAGGGAGCTACTAGGGAAGGGGTCAAAGGTCAATTACTGGAGATTAGGACCAGGGGGGAATTGTAGTTACTAAGGCAAGTCGAATCAAAGGACTGCGATATAAGGAAGTATATTAAGTTTAAAGATGCTTTATGTATATTTTGATTACTTTACAAAATTAATTGTTACTGTGTAGGAATTGGATGTTGTGATATAAACAAATACACAGCTAATATATTGAAATGCATAATACCTAATTAGAGTTGTGAATAAAAGAACACATATCCTCTTCCAGAGATTCACTTTGAAGCTACAAATCTTAAGTTAAGTTTCACCACAAGCTTACACAAAAAAGTCGAATGCAGCTCTTGAACATGCAGCTGTAATTAAGTAGAATACAAGAGTGGTATAGCTAGGTATAACCGGGTTTACTGTGGGACTTCCACTATTGTGTTGTTCTCTCAGATTTCATAGTTCTGATATCAATAGAATAGGAGAGGTTTTCTAGATTCTCTGTTTTTTGATAAGCAGAATTGCAGAAAAGTGCAAAAAAGCTAACTTTAAATCTTCTCAAAGCCATATGTTAAAACAATTAATCATATACAAGTTTGTTTATGTTTTATATTTTCTCTCCTGTTAGACTGAGATGACAACTGAGGAAAAACGAGCTAAACATCAGAAGGAGCTCTCTGAGAAACTGAATGATGAAGCAAAAGAGAGGCTTAAGGGGATGAAAGGAGGAACAGAGGACAAAAAGTAAACTTATTTATTATTTTTAACCAACTTCAAATGTTTGACTTTTAAAAGTATATTTTGTATGCAATGCCTTTGTCAGACAGTCCCAAAAGCAGTTCTTGTAACTCAAGAACAATGCAAAGAATCATTTTCAAGTTTCATGGATATATACAATATTGAGCAAGTAGGTGTCAACCAAGTGCCATTTTGAAAATTGACAATTCTTAACATTCTCAACATCTATGTAATGGATCTTCAACAGATGAATGTGTGGCATGTCTTGTCATTTCAACAGGCAAGTGTTTGACCTGTCTTGCTTAGTGTTTGATGTCTTTGTTGAATAAAACCAATGGGTTTTTAACATGCCTTGCGTAGTGTTTGACGTATCTGTTTGTTCAACAGAAAAATGTTGGACATGTCTTGCATAGTGCTGGATGTGTCTTGGTCCTTTCAAGAGAAGAGTGTTTGACATGTCTTAATTAGTATTTAGGTTCGATGTGTATTTGTTAATTCAACAGATGAATGTTTGATGTGCCTTAGTTAGTACAACAAATCAGTGTTTGACATGCCTTGGTTCGTTCATGGGACAACCTTATTGGCTAAACTGTACATCAAACTTTACAGAGTAATTAATTGTACACACAAATAAATATCAAATATCTATGTTAACATTAGCAATGTTATAACATTTGTTTCTTTTGAAAGAGTGCGGAGATCCAATGTATCATACAAGAATCCTTCACACATGCCACAGGAGTCACAGTTACGAGAACTTAAGCTTTACGTTGGTAAGTGAGGTTATGAATTTCTGGTTCATTAGTATATAAGATATATAGCATATAGGTATTCATTTTTATTTTATCATTTTCCTTTTGTATTGTTACATTTGTCATCTGAAAAAGAAGGGATCAGATTAATTGAAATGCAGTAACTAACGATTGAAGTATATACTTTGTTAAATACATGTGGGGTCTTGAAGTATTCTTTTTGCCTTTCATCCATTTATGATGAAATGGATGCCTTGGAGTTGATTGATAAGAGTGAGCACTTTATTCATCTGTCAAAATGCTTTAAAGGATATCTATCAGAAAACAGAATCATAATTATATTTCAGTTCAAAGTTCTATGTTAACAAATGAGTTTAACTTCAAATACAGAAATCCAATAAAATTACATTTGGATGTTGTTGACTTTCAGATAAGAAGTATGAGACTGTAATACTGCCTATTTTTGGAATTCCTACGCCTTTCCACATATCTACTGTAAAGGTAAAATGTCAATCAGGGAAAGGAATCTGATGTTAAAAAGTTCTTTAATCACTTATTACCATTTTATCCTGCATGAAAGTTTATTTCACCTTCAGATGTACTGTTATCTACAGCCTATATTTACTGCAATGTGGAAGTAAGGAAAATATTGCATTTTTAACATTATAGTTTGTTTTATAGGAAATATAAATAAAAGAAAGTAGCAGTTAATTCTGTTGTCACCTGAAGCTGATCTTTTAGTGTCCGGAGCATAACTTTGCCCATGGTTAATCAATGATCATGAAGCTTGGTGTATACATTGGTCATACTAAGCAGATGTGCATTGTACCAAATTCAGAGCCCTTAAATCCTTAATTACAGAGTTATTTCCCTTGGTTAAAATTTAGATTATTGGGCATAACTTTGCTTGCATTTTAACAAGGGATAATGAAACTTTGTGTATACATTGATCATACTAAGATGATAAGCAATGTAACAAATACAGAAACTGCAACCCCTTTATTACAGTCATTGCCCTTTGTTAAAATTTTGTGTCTAGAACAAAACATTCAAATGTTTGCATATAAATTGGATAATAAAACTTCATGGATACTTTGATCATACTAATACAATTCACAGTGGACCAAATTCAGGTCCATTGACCCGTCATTTGCAGGGTTGTTGCCCTTTGTAAAAAATAACTTGTCCAGAACATAACGTTTCTTGTATTAAGGTAGGATAATGAAATTTGATGCATACATTGACCATACAAAGACAATGTGCAGCGTACCTTTGTTGGGGTCCACAACTAAAAAATTTTCCCCTTTGTTAAAAAAAATTCTTGTCTGGTGCATAACTTTGCCCACAGTTAAGCAAGTATCTTGAAACTAAGTGAGTGTATACATTGGTCATGCTAAGATGATGTGCAGTGTACTAATTTCAGGGCCATTGACCACTGGATTACAGAGTTATTGCCCTTTGTTAAAATATGTTGTTTACATTGATCATACAAAGACAATGTGCAGTGTACCAATGTTAGGGCTCCCGACTTCTTAATTACAGAGTTATTGCCCTTTGTTAAAATTTTGTGTCTGGAGCATTACTTTGCATAAAAACTGGGATAATGAAACTTTGTGTTTACATTGGTTATATTAAGAGATATCTGTATACCAAGAAGTTCAGAATTATTGCCCGGTTTTAAAATCTTGTGTCCAATTAAGTCGTTGTCTTGGAGTGTAAGTTTTACTGATACTCTTGTCATCATTTTGCTGATATTATGTTTTGCTGTCTTGTACAATATTTTTTTTCTTCCTTTTTTTTTAAACAGTTTTCTAAAATTTATTATTAAAAGCCTCTGATAATGTTGTTTAAACAGGAGATTTTTAAGTGTTCTGGTTTGTAGGCTCATCAAAATTGCTTATTGTGTAGATCATTCAGATGTCTCTTTGTTTGTACAGAACATCAGTCAGTCTGTAGAAGGTGACTACACATACCTACGTATCAACTTCTTCCACCCAGGGTCGGCACTTGGCAGAAATGATGGAAATCTCTATCCTCAACCAGATGCTACATTTGTCAAGGAAATGTAAGCTAAACAATTTGATACTGGCATTTTGTAAATGATTAATTTCACCGGTTGTGTACCATCACACAGATAGGATTGTGTTGGTGATATATTAGATTTAGAATCAAAGCGCAGTAGAAATCTATCATATAAAAACCTCCCATTTGATCTACAAAATTGTGAACTATTCCACTACCATTCTCTGATTAAGATGAAATGTTTTTTCAAATGTCTTGTTTTTATGTGACCTTAAAAAGTTTGACCAGACAGATGGCATTGTATGTCAGTTGTGAATTGTTTGATATAATGTGATAATTTTGATTTCCAGTACTTACCGAAGTTCTAATACAAAAGAACCAGGCGAGATTTCAGCACCCTCCTCCAACCTTAACACAGCCTTCCGTCTCATCAAAGAAGTACAGAAGAAGTTCAAAACAAGGGAAGCTGAGGAGAGAGAGAAAGAGGTGAATTATTACAAGACAAATAAGTGGTTTCACTTGTTCATTGTTATTATTGTGTCAGGCTTTTTTCACACTTACTTAACAATTTCTCTTTCAAAACTTATCATACTTCATTGTTAAAGAACTTATTAAAGAAATAGGGCCTAGAAAGTCATTAGATTCAATGAATATAATTCATAAAACTATAGATATTAAGCAATTGTAAGTAAACTACCAGGGAGTCACCGTAGCTCAGTCAGTAGAGCAGTGGGCCGAGAAACCTTAGGCAGAGATATGAGAGACATGGTTCAATGCTCCCCACAGACAGCAGTTTGTGTTTCTGAGGAAGCTGAAACTGATCAATCTGTGCTGTTGTGGTTGCATCCTCAACCAAGACATGTTACCCTGATTGCATTGGATGGCATATGATTGCCCTCCTGTATGATGTTCAGTAATGTAGAAACCAGCAACCACAAGGAGAGCCCACCTTAAAGTAACTGGTTGTGGAAATTAACCTAGCAAACAATTAACTGCCCTACTCTGTATATGTTTGTAGACTATTGTGATCTTGAAGAGCAGAATATTATTATAATTATTGCAACTAATGTACCTTGTGTTGTGGGTATGAGTACCTTTCTCATTGATTGTCACTATTGTGGCGTAAATGGACATTTTTCCAACTGCATTAATAAACTTTATTGATGTTAGATTGCTTTATAAAAAGACCAGACAACACTTACATACTGGCAAAACGTATGATTTGCCTGTGACACGTCTCAAGATGGTTGCTTCAAGTTTACTTGGATGCTTACTTCATTTATGTTTCCAAAAGAAAGAATGTATGTTGTAAAACTACTCGGAGCTCTTCCAGTCAAACACCTATTCCACCCTTGGACTCGAGATTTTGTGCCATCCATAGAACTTAATTGATAATTCGCTAAGAAGTAAAAGTGAGAAACTATAAATAGTGGTTTATTTTGGAGTACTGGGGTCAAGTACATGTAGATGGTTACCTCCTATCAGTTTCCTGTTTTGCCTCATTAAATCAATATGTTAATTTTAGGGAATTGTGAAACAAGACACACTTATCATCAATCCCAACAGAGGAAACCCCAAGCTGAAGGACCTCTATATCCGGCCCAACATCGTGTCCAAAAGAATCTCAGGAACTCTGGAGGCACACACCAATGGTAAGTGTCAGTGAGACCTAACATTATCAGTATGTCAAGGTAGACATTAATCAGGTGTCAAGGTTTGTGATTACTGGAGGCACACTCTTCCAGGATGTCTTGGTTTGTGATGTCTGGAGTCTTCAATTAACAGGATGTGTAGGTTTGTGGTGCTGGGAAGCATGATCCCACACGATGTGTAGCTTTGTTTTACTGTAAGGCACGATACTACAGGATTTGCAGGTTTGTAATGTCTAAAGGTACTTGGGTCGTTATTGCCAGGAGACAAAATCCTACAGTACATTAAGTTTTGTGTTGCCCAAAGGTACAATATCATAATACATATTGGGGTGTGATGCTAGGAGTTACAATCTTCAGAACATTTTAGGACCCACAGTGCTAGCCCTTTCTTATTACCTTTTAATAGCTGTGTAGAACATATAGGCTCTCAAACAAGTGCTGTTTGGAGTGTGTAAATTGTCCTTATAGCACTGCATTCTAATAGTGAATTTTAAGGTACCTACTCTATCAAAGTTTCCTTGGTATTGCTGTAGACATAACTTTACTTGGTGAATATTGCTTAACTAACTTATATTTTAACTCTTTTTCTAAGTTTCAATTTTACCAGTATACTTCTTCTATAAGAGCTTATTAAACGTTCATGCTGCAGAGTCAAAGTTTTAAACATTTCTACCATTATGTTTATCTGCAAATATGTTATGTTAAACGTTCTCCAGGTTTCAGATTCACGTCGGTTCGAGGAGACAAGGTGGACATTCTCTACAACAACATAAAGCATGCCTTTTTCCAGCCATGTGATGGAGAAATGATTATTTTGCTTCACTTTCACCTTAAGGTAAACTGCAACATCATATCTGATGGGAGGGCGGGGAGCATGAAGTGTTATCCACATCTGTCTATACTGTCCCATTTATTTCAAAACCAGTGACGCCTATTTTAACATCAAAAGATTTTATTTATATTTACCCAATATTATATTACGATATCAAGTTCTTGGCCATATCCTATTAATGTGGTCATAGGTCAAGTTTAATAGGATAAAAGGTCACATCTGAGGTCACATCTGACAACTTCTGCAAGTTCATCAAACAATGATACATTAATACATGGGAGAGGTGCATTCATGTCTTACAGACATTTTCTAGTTTTGGACTGAAATGGCTGTCATTATTGCTTGCTATAGAGTTTTATGTAAATACAGTCACACCTTATTATCTCTAACTCTTATATCTTGAAGACTTTGTATGATTTGAAGTATTTTGTTGATCTCGGCCGAACTTTACATTTAACATTTTATCTTACTTAAATAGTATAATCAGATAACCAAGGTCCGCTGACTCTGAGATAACGAAGTTTGAGTATGTCTTGAATGGAGTGTATTCTGTTACTTTAAACATCTGCCAACTTCTTTTCAACCCATCCAACTGTCAGATGTCTACCTCAAGTACTATTAACAAAGCAGTACTTTCATCATATAACTTTGCCATTGTCATGTCTCTTCAGTTTGTGGTTAGACCACTTGAGAAGTAATGCCTGGCACAACTGTCAAAGAAACTGTCAAAAGCTTGGAGAAAATTGTTAACAATCTCAGAATTTTCCTTCTGATTTTCAGTTTATATTAAGTATAATTTGATTGACTTTGTGCAATGATGCAGATTACCAGTAAATATGTTTCATTAATCTTCAGTGACTTTGTGCAATGATGCAGATTACCAGTAAAAATGTTTCATTAATCTTCAGTGACTTTGTGCAATGATGCAGATTACCAGTAAAAATGTTTCATTAATCTTCAGTGACTTTGTGCAATGATGCAGATTACCAGTAAAAATGTTTCATTAATCTTCAGATGAAATCAAAATTTCTCTTTATAAAGTACTGCAAAATGCTGGATGGTGGGGTGGGGCTGTGGTAAGGCAATTGTCTTTCACCTAGCCATCCAGGTTTTGATTTCAAGAATGGACGTGAAAAGGTTTGGGGTCACATGCCCAACCACGTGGGTTTTCCGTGGGTATTCCAGTTTCCTCCCACATTAAGACCTCTTGTGCACTTCCATCCGGCCCAACAAGAGTGATTGATATAAGTGGATAGTTTGTTTTGCAGTTAAAGTTAGTATTTAATATAGATCTGCAAAATGGGCCACCGCTGGTAATGACAGTTTGATATTGAACAATATGCTGCCACACATGGAGCATATATCTCGTTACATTTTAATACTTATATTAGTCTACAGCAATTTTGTTTCCTTTAAATTTGTTATCCATAAGATAATTACTTATTATATACATCAGTATGCAACTTACTAGGTATATATTGATTTACTTATTATATACATCAGTATACAACTTACTAGATATATATTGATTTTTATAGCATGCTATCCTGTTTGGTAAGAAGAAACATGTTGATGTCCAGTTCTACACAGAAGTTGGAGAGATCACTACAGATCTTGGCAAACATCAGCATATGCATGATCGAGACGATCTGCATGCGGAACAGGTAGCCTAATGTCACAGATCTAAGTTATGTCTCCAAAAACATAAGGTTCAAAATAATGTATGTAAACAAAGAATTTTTGCAAATCAGCCTTAATGTAACCAAAAAACATCTGTAAAGACTTTAATGTGAAGTGGCAAAATGCTTGTTTTCAGAACAAGGTGAAAGGGAATTATTTTGTTTCAGCCATTTTTTTTTGCTGGAAATATCATAATTATTGTGATGTCTCAATTCCTCTAGTATACCTTTCCTGCTGTTCTTTCCCCAGGCTGAACGTGAGTTAAGACAAAAGTTGAAGTCAGCATTCAAGAGTTTCTGTGAAAAAGTAGAAGCCATTACAAAACAGGATATTGAATTTGATTCTCCGTTCCGAGAGCTTGGTTTCCATGGTGCCCCATACAGGAGCACAGTGCTGCTGCAGCCTACAAGTGGCTGTGTCGTTAACTTAGTGGAATGGGTAAGACATTGTATATAGATTTTAGAGTTTAGAACTATTGTTTATTCAATGGATGCCGATGGGTTTTTCATCAAACACCCAACTGAAAATGCTTACATGACTTTGCTTTTTCAGGTCCAAAGATAGCCACTGTTGAAATTTCAAATAACATTTCTGCACTATATAGTGTTCAATATAGATAATTTCATCCAAGGTTGCTGAAATGTGAATTGCTCACGTCAATGTTGCTCAATATTTCTGATTTGGTTGAAGACATTACACTTGATCTACTTATCTTGAATCCTTTGTCATTGGGAGGGAAACAAATCTATCCATTCATTCATTGATGTTATCAGTGATCAGCTGGATGACTGTTGCTTTACTTTGAGAATTTTTTTTATGTAGGATGTAGGAGTAAAGTGAACTACAAATTTTCAAATAATAAGCCACTTTTAATTAAACCTATTTTCCATCACCAACAGCCACCATTTGTGATTTCCCTGGAAGAAGTGGAGTGTATTCATTTTGAGAGAGTCCAATTTCACCTGAAGAACTTTGATATGGTATTCGTGTTCAAGGATTACAGCCGCAAGGTGGCCATGATCAACTCCATACCGATGAACGTGTTGGACAATGTCAAAGAATGGCTCAAGTAAAGATACATTTTCAGCCTCCAATTTAATTGATTGTTGTTGCAGTGCTTTTTTAAGACATATAATTGTATGTGGAATTTTTCACTGAAAATAATTGTTTTACATTGTGATACTAGTATCAAACTGAATCAGTTGTAGTGCTTCATGTTCTTTAATGAAAAAGGTTGACTTAATGTTGTAAGGTTTTTGTTGTTAGTCTCTGGCAGTTTTTATAAGAAAGCTTTTGTTGTCAGTTTTTTATAAAAAGGCTTTTGTTTCTATTTCAGCTCTTGTGATGTGCGGTACACTGAAGGAATTCAGAGTTTGAACTGGTCCAAAATCATGAAAACCATTACTGATGATCCTGAAGGCTTCTTTGACAGTGGTGGCTGGACTTTCTTAGACCCTGAAAGTGATGTATGTATACGTTAATATAGAAACTTTTATGATAAGAACTAAATAGTTCTGCACCTTGTGCTCATGAAACAAAGATCAAATCCATACCTGTGAGTAATGTTAAGTGAACTTTGGTCTTACAGTAGTCAGTCACTTTAATCAGGATTTAATTAACAGATATGCAATTATCATTTTCCAGTTTGAATCATTTGTCCTTGTCCTTCTGCCATCTTCTTCACATTCTTTCTAATGACTGTCCATTCTAGGTCCATTCTTTTTAATGAATCTGTCCATTCTAGAGGGATACCAAGTTAATTCCTGATCAAAGTAACTTAGTGCTGTAAGGCCGAAAAACTTGTGCTAGAGGTGTGGAGCTGTGATGCAGGTTATAATTAGAGGTACCAACATTCTTCAGAGAACATTTAACTTTAGCATTCATCAAAATATCTCTCAAAAGCAGAAACAGATATGCAATTTATTATGTATTCTGTCTACTGGTTTTGCCATATTAGTCGAAGCCCAACTTCAGCCTGTTGAGATTGATTTATCCTGATTTAAGCTCAACCTTATCCATTAATCCTTACAGGTATTAAGGGGAAAGCCATTTGGCCTATCTACTCAGTACCTGAAGCAACAACAGCATTTGCTTTATCTTCAGACACATTTTTAACCCATTATCTGATTCAAATTGTCGTCTGTCCGTAAACAATTTTTGTTATCGCTATTTCTTGAGAAGTTTTAAATGGATTTCTCCCAAATTTCATATAAATTTTTTTACTACAGGTCGAGGAAGAGGATGATGAGGATGATGAAGATGATGAAGCATATGCTCCAACAGATGAGAGCAACTCTGAGGAAGATAGCAGTGAGGATTATTCTGAGGAGGAGAGTGACTGGGAAGGTGAAGAGGACGATGATGATTCAGGTGTGTAAAGGCTTCAAATGAATTTCAATAAGTGTCCAGATTGGGTGAAGGGTGGTAATTCTATGGTAGGATATGTTGATAAACATATTGCATTCCTTTTATTGAATATCTAGATAATACAAGATTTTGCCACTTACAAACTATTTGAAACCAGAGTACAGCAATTCTTTGACGAGACCAATTACTGAAACATTTGTTATACAGTGAGATAATATGGATATGTAGGAATCATCATAATCTTGATAAAAAATTCTTCAGTCATACATAGTTGACTTTTAGGTCACACGACTGTATGTTAGTAGTGCTTTTGATCATGTGACTGTGCGTGATTAGTCTTTTAGCTCACATGACTGTACATTAGCAGTCTTTTAGCTGATGTGATTTTACATAACTAATCTTTTAATTCTTGTGACTGTACGCAAATAGTCTTTTAGTTTATGTGACTGTACATAAGTAGACTTTAAGCCCCAGTGTTTTATGCTCCCCAAAGGGTGAGCATATAGTCGCTGATTTGTCAGTCCATCATAATATTGTTTGGAGCATTACACTAAAGCTATAAGAGGTATCAGTATGAAACTTCAGAGGTGGGTAAATCTCAACAAGGAGAAATGTATTTCCTCAGAACCATCACTCTCTTTCGCATAATGTAGGAGTTATTGCCCTTCGTTTTTTTCATACTTGAATTTTCTCTGGAGCAAGACATCAAAACCATATGAGGTATTAAAATGAAACTTTATAGGTAGATAAATCTCAACAAGATGGGCACTATACAAGAATCATAACTTTCTTGTTGCCCTTTGTAATCAGGGCTCTCGATCTGCCAGATTTGGGGCCGAATATTCCCAATGCAAAATAGTTTTTTTTTTTTCCCAATTTAGACCCCAAGTTTTCCAAATTTTAAGGAAAACACCATTATTTTTCCCAATTCTAAGGGCCCAGGGCCCCAGTCCCAAAATGGGGTGTGAGAGCCCTGGTAATTTTTCATAATTAAATTTTGTTCCATTTGGGGAGCATAACCTGTCTCTGACAGCTCTTGTTAAGGGTCAAGCAGTCGCGTGATAAAGACTTGTCTGCTGAAAGGCTATAATAGTGGATTTAAAACCTGTTAAATAAGTAATAATTGGGATAAAGTCTCTTGGTTTATTTACAGTGAGGTAAAAACTGGCAATCAATGTAAAATAATCATGTACCATAGAGGATGTAATTTTGGAAGGGTTATTTGAACTAAAGTTTGATATTTGTTAATGATTTCTTCATTTCAATATTTGTAGAAGAAGACCTTGGATCCAGTGAGGAAAGCGGTAAAGATTGGGACGAGTTGGAAGAAGAAGCTCGTAGAGGTATCCTTGTTAATTTGTCTTTACATATTTTATATAGTAGTCATCACCTACCGAAACCTTGAAGTCATTTCAAACATTTGGTAAACTTTTGTGGTAATTTGTTTTCAGCTTTCATGTTACTTTTTGATCAAACTTTGGTACCTGGTTACTAAAAAAGTTATTCATTCACTGATTTGTAATTTTGTAGCGGATGCTGAAGGTGACATGATGGCGGAAGATCCCCGTAGCCACCACAAGTCCCACCATAAGTCTCATCATAGATCACCCAGCAAGTCCTCTTCTCACAAGTCTTCTCACAAATCACCGAGTAAATCTTCACACAAGTCTTCAAGTAAATCTTCTTCTCATAAATCACCTCACAAATCACCTAGCAAGTCTTCATCACATGGAAAATCTTCCTCGCATGGAAAATCTTCCTCACATTCATCATCCCACAAGTCTTCTTCATCCTCTTCTTCAAATAAGAGGAAGCGAGAAGCAAGTGGAGAACGAAATGATAAGAAGAAAAGGAGATGAAAAGATTCTGTAACCATGTGACAGAATGATCAGAAGATTCTGTAACAATGTGACAGAAGAATGATCAGAAGATTCTGTAACAATGTGACAGAATGATCAGAAGATTCTGTAACAATGTGACAGAATGATCAGAAGATTCTGTAACAATGTAACAGAAGAATGATCAGAAGATTCTGTAACAATGTGACAGAATGATCAGAAGATTCTGTAACAATGTGACAGAAGAATGATCAGAAGATTCTGTAACAATGTGACAGAAGAATGATCAGAAGATTCTGTAACAATGTGACAGAAGAATGATCAGAAGATTCTGTAACAATGTGACAGAAGAATGATCAGAAGATTCTGTAACAATGAGACAGAAGAATGATCAGAAGATTCTGTAACAATGAGACAGAAGAATGATCAGAAGATTCTGTAACAATGTGACAGAAGAATGATCAGAAGATTCTGTAACCATGTGACAGAATGATCAGAAGATTCTGTAACAATGAGACAGAAGAATGATCAGAAGATTCTGTAACAATGTGACAGAAGAATGATCAGAAGATTCTGTAAAAATGTCAAATATCCTGTATATATAATATGGTTGTACTGAATCTTTCATCACTCTGCTACAAGTCCTCCTTATTAAGTTGTTATATCAGAACAAAGAAATGTGATGGTGGAATGTATAATGCTGACACGTGCGTAAAGGGAAGTGCTTTACTGCTATTGTATATGTTAGTGCTTCTCTTCAGTGTTGTCTCACTGCAGTCATATACACACTGACTTCTATTCTGCTATTATTGAGATGCAAGCTTCTTTTGACTGACCTCATCTGGTAGAACCATTTGTAATACTCCACACACCATACTGGCTGTCATTAACTAATGTAGGGACCATTGTATAATGATATGATTCTCCAACATTTATGTTGTCATGATAACCTTGGTATTGTAGTTTGTGATCTGTACTCCAATTCAACAATATATTTTGTCATCTTTATAGTTCTGTTTATTGTGAGGGGAAAAAAAGTTTTTAGGATTGAACAATGGCTCGGCTCCAACTTAGAGCCTTGTTCTGTTGAAAGATAAGTTTTAAGTATATCACTTCAGTGATCTATCTTCTGCAGCTGTGTAGTGTAAAGTGATCGAAACTGATACATTTATCAGGAATGAAGTAATAAGTAAATCTACAGCCTACAACAACACTTTGTAGAAATATTTATCATGTGTGAAAATATGTCGATAATTTATTACAATAACTCTTAACATTGATGTACTTCAAAAATTGAAAATATTCTTCCTTCAACAAGAGAGAACACCAGGACAAAATGACAAATATTGAAATATGTACACACGTCGAAATGCCAAAAAATGAAAATTTCTCTGAGAAGACAGTTTACAGAATTCACAGTAGAATTGACCAATTAAAACAACGTTTATCAAAGAATAGTGGCATTATCTTGTTTTGTTATAAGTGTGAAATGGTCTTGTGTTTGTATTTACCTCAGTGCTGAATAAAAATGAATGAATGTACTGTTGATTTGTTAGTATTTTTTATTCCACCAACTGATAGATGCTTTATGTCTATCCTGTAGAGTTTTTCTGTTACCACTTTTTATAAGTAACCCCAGAAAATATCTCATTGAAACTTAATTTTTTTTATATGGGTCAAGCAGTCGCCACCTTGGCGATTTGTCCTTACGTATCTGGTCACACTTAAGAGCCCTCGACCCCTCTATTACCGAGTTATTGCCCTTTGTTAAAATTTCATGTCCAGAGATTACATCTCTAATGTCGTTTCATCTAGGATAATGAAACTTGGGTGTATAGATTGATCATACTAAGATAATGTGCATTGTATTAAATTCAGTGCCTTTGACCCCTGGATTACAGTTATTGACCTCTTAAAGTTTCTTATATGGAGCATAAATTTGCTTGCATTGGAATTAGGAAAACGAACTTGGGTTTCACAAATTGATCATGCTAGGAGGATTTGCAGTGTACAAAATTCAGGATTCACAACCCCTTAAATACCGAGTTATTGCTCTTTGTTTAAATTTCTTGTCCTAAGCATAAACTCGGCATTTACATTGATCATAAAAAGACAATGTGCAGTGTGTAAATGTTTGGGCATGCAAACCCTTCCTTACAGAGTGACTGCCCTTTGTTAAAATGTTATGTATAACGGCCTGCATTTAAACTTTGAACATGACCAGGTTGAGTACATTCTTATTGTGCTTGCTATATTTTGAGCTTCATCAGCAGCTATTAGTAGCCATTTTGGTTTTTGATGTAGGAAGTTTGTTGTTAATTTTAAATAATAATTAATGATATTGAACTTTATTAGACAGTATGAGTCCTTATTTTGGATTTTGTTACCGATAGTTTTAAATAGCTAGAAAATGGATCATCATAAAACATTAGTATAGCTCGTAATTGTTAAGGATAACATGGTACTCATTAATCCAAGATGGGCACAAATTACCATTTGGGGTTTTTGATGGTCGTTATGTCTATCTCAAATGTAAGCTTTACACCATCTTGAAAAACATTAAATCTTCTCAAATTCCATTGCTGCCATTGACTTGAAAATTGATGGCGGGTGCTTAGTGAAATTCAGTTGAAACTTCTAACACTTAAATGTTAGGACGCTTTACATAGTAATTTTACAACAAATAAATCAAATCTCAGTATCGGTAAAAATATTTATTTTTCCTCTACAAAACTCATCCTGTAAAATTTCTTCCATTAGACCACACTTATACATTGTCCAGGAACATTGGGAGACACCATCACAATGAAAGACTTGTTCAGACATCAAATTATTATCTGTCCTCAAGACCTAACTTATCTTAATTTGTTGATCAGGAGTAGTAAATGAAAAATGATAACATGTTGCTTGCATACGATACATTATAAACTAAAGCAGACATGGAGAATACCTCAAGAAGTTGCAATTAAAAAAAAAAAAGAAAAAAATTTGAATCAGATTTAGGAAACAAGAATGTTTATTTATTACTGATAAAATTTAAGAGATGAAATGAAACCAGAATTCACAAATCAAATAACTGGATTGTTTCTACAGTTATCTTTGTCATTTTGACTTCTGACATTGGAAGTTTTTGACTGGAACTGATGAAACCTAACTCTAAAATTAAGATGTTAAAGTGATCAAAGAGACATGAGAATGACAATTTTGGAACACCATATTATTTTAAGATTTTTATAATACTGAAATGGTGACAACACTCAGTGTAAAGCTGTGAAAACTTTACAGCTGAAAATGATTTTGGTCTAAAGCAAAATTTAAATGCATCTTTAATACTTACCACAGGAACAAGCCTATTTGATTTCTGATAGAAACAAATAGAACTTAATGAAAATTAGTATTTTATTATAAAAAAACTGTTTGTATACATCTATTATTTTGCATGTAATATTGTTTAAAAATCCTTTTGGCATATACCTGTGGTATTATACATCTAACCTTTCTGTTTTGTATGATGATGAACTGGGTTTTATGTTTTGTGCTGTTGCAGCCCTATATCTGACCATCTTTTACTATACAAAGTGAATCACATGTTCCGTGGTGGTGTATAGACTTAGGATTAAAGGAGAAAAGAACCAACAAAAGATACAAATATAAACCATCATGATATCAATCACACATACATTCACAGAAACATTCGACACATTTCAAAATCAATCAAAATCCATACAAACTGCAGGAAGGTGATCAATATTTATATACAGCGATGTTGATAAAGGATCAATTAGATGTTGTGACAAATCCCTTGTCATATAACTGAATTGTCTTTCATATCGGTATCCACTTGCTGTTGAAATCAATCTAATGTCTTTGATTTCCAGACCTGGGTGTGATGAATAACCACAGCAACAAGTGCTGTCGGTACCTTAGTTAGATGTTGTCTAGTCACACTAACACAAATTTACACTGTTCCAAGCACTCCCGTCACTGTTTGGTGTCCAGGGAGGTATGGGTTTTATTCATGCTGGCATTGCATACAATATTACAACCAACGAACTACTTGTGCACAGTGTCTGTGGTCCTTGCATCTTGAATGAATGGCTGGTTTGGATGTAAAGTCGGCGTGATTCTCCAATATCAGAGAGCACACAATTTATCTTCCATGAAGATGATCACAAAATGCTACAACTGTAAACCAGACTATGGCGCTGTGGGACGCTGGTTTTCTTTAATCCAGGGGTGTTCCAGTACTTTTTCTAGAGTAATTCGCTGACTGGGGTCATGTTTCAACATCTGAAAGCACAAGACACAAGAACGACATCTCATCAGTAGTCCACATTACATTAGTACTGACCATAACAACAGCAAATAATTCAAGACAGAGAGTATTAAAATCATATTTTTCACTCTTAAATATTGAAATCCCAATACCTCAAGTGACAGCTCATGAAATTCATAAACAATTGATTTGTCATTGGTCATAAATAGGAGTTATAAACAGCTACGAAGCAAATTTGTGTACCATTATAACTATCAAGTGAAATTCTTATTAAACTGTGAGATTTTACAGCTATGATTGATCTATTTCAAGAGACTTACGTGCAAATCAAAAGATATTACTGACAGTCTTAGACCAAACATCAATTTATCAAATCAACCAAGTAGATTTTTAAAAGAGAGTCGAAAATGATGTTTAGGCCTTTTAACACAGCTGAAACCTTAATCAGATTGTCTTTTAGAGTTGGGTAAATATCTTACCGAACTGATCAGGTTTCTAGCTGGAGGAGATACATATGGTGGGAATTGAAGATCCACTTTTGTTATCCGTCTGTATGTGTCAGAGTTAGTCTCTGCCTCAAATGGAGGCTTTCCCACAAGGAACTCGTAACATAGCACACCAAGGCTCCACAGATCCACCTTCTCGTCGTGAAGTTTGCCTTCGATCATTTCTGGCGGTAGGTAATCTAAGGTGCCACATAATGTGGTCCTCCTGAAGAAATAAGAAACATTTGTCAGTATAATCTTATCTTAAAATAAAAACAGATTCTACATATTAGGCATTCTGAAAATAAATAGCAAGCACTCACTGTGTGCTGTAACCACTATAGCCTTAGGTTACATGATGTGCAACAGCTTGAACTAAGTAAATATTTCTTTTATTTGGAAAAACATTCCTTGTATTTTATCGATATTCATTACCTTGAAATTTTATATAATGATTTGTGGGTAAAGAACTGGTATTGAATTTGATTTTTACTTATTTGAAGTTATACAAATTGTTTTCAGTTTCATCATTAGTGAATTCAGGATTTCTTCTTAACATTCTATTAAAATATGATGCAAGATTTATCAATATAATTCAATCACTCTTTGTTGACCCCAAACTCCCATCAGGAAGTTTCCTAAAGCTTACTGCGCCAATCATTTAAATACTCCTTGACCCTTCAAAAGTGTATTACTTCTGAACCATTCAAAATCTTATTACTTCCCTACCTTTTACATAAGCTCATTGCTCCCACCCCTCAAAATTTGTAGCATCCCTTCTTTAAAAGCTCACAGCACCTAAACCTCTAAAACCTCCCTTACTTGTTACTTCTTCACCCTTCGAAAGCTTATTGCTCTCCCATCTCTTAAAACCTTTTAACTGCCTCCTACCTTTTAGAGTATATTGGTAATGGTTAAGTTCCTTCACTGGGTTTGAACAGATTTATACAGAAATCAACGACGTCCAGCACTTTGTGGTATCAGGTCTCAGGACATTTCCAAGACCTTCCAGGGGCAGTGATCTTGTTATGAACTGAAGTAGGGACAAAACTGTGAACTGACCAGTTCAGACTGGCCTTTTTACTTGCCTGGATGAAGGAGCATGGACTGACCAGCCAAAGTCAGCTATTTTGAGGTCCCCTGTGAGTCCGAGGAGGAGGTTTTCTGGTTTGATATCTCGGTGGATGACCTTTTTACTGTGACAATACAGCAATGCACTGGTCATCTGGTACATGTACTAAGGAAAAACAAATAAATGAAGAAATTTTTAAGTGTGATACAAATTAAACTGCACAATGGCCATTTACCTTTATTTAAAATACCAAGGGAAAACTCTTCTAAAATTTGTCATGTGAATGCACCATTCTATAAAACATAATCACAAGTAGATATGACTAAACCTAGAAATTTTCGGAAAAAAGTCAACAGCCTGAGAAAAATCTGCAAATAGATCAAAATGGAGCAAAATATGAAAGGCCAAATTCCCAAAGTAAACTACTGTTGCATGTCCTGGTGATAAAGTCTGAAATTTCATGTTCAAGCCAAGAGACATTTGTTTGATTGATAACTCATAAGTAAATAGTTTTACATGCCAGAAATATCTGTATGTAACAAACATATCCATATTCAGTATACCTAGTGCTGGAAGCTATCAACCTCCACACCGTAGAACGGTGGAGTCACTCCCTATCAGATATACATGGATAAAGCTCGAAATATCTATGACAGCGAGCACCACGCTGATGATGGAGGGCGATGAACAGACTACTGACGACAACCCATGGCGAATCCAGGGTCTCTGGCTAGCAGTGCTCTGGGGCACGCTCAACGGATCTGGGGAAACTGGTTAGGGACAGAAGAGATGTCACAGACTCAGTAGCATGTTTCTCACTTAGTCAGTACACACTGGGCACCACAAAAAAATATGTCCATACATTTTTTTTTATTTTAAGCATTTAGTCTGTACATGATTCACCGATTTTACTTACTGTAGCTGTTCGCTTCTCATCAAATCTTGTGTTCTTCATCAGCTCCTTGTAAAGCTCGCCCTTGGGTGCATACTCCAGGACCAAGTAGACACGGGTTTTGTCATGAAAGTATTGAAATAATCGCAGGATGTGGGGATGGCTGCAATTTTCGGAAATTGACAAAATAACATAACATTACTTTGAAAACAGAAACATGACAAATTAATCCTTTTTTTTCTGTGCAAAAAACATAATCATTTGTTTTTGAGACTAAACTTTGTTAAATGAGGCAATGAAGATTATAACTGGTTCATCTGTAACCTTGAAAAAGACCTAAGTTATAGATCTCAGTGATGTTTTATCCGTGCATACACATTTTGTAAATTGTAGAATAATGTTTTGTCTTGAATGCTGCCTCTTATTAAGAAAAGAAAATTGCATGACAAACTTCATTTCTCCCATTTGAAATTAAACAGTGATAAACATTTCAATCCATTAGATAATTACAAAGGCTCTAAAAGCTGTGCAGAAATTGGAAACAAGCCCTTGTAAGGCAAAGAATTCATTCTGCTGTAAAGGTAGCTAGATGAGAATGGAACAAGGGACAAGAGCACAAGATAGAACAATAAACATCTGTCTCATGCCAAAGAAATATTCATGATATGTATAGAAAAGGATACAAATATGGAAATGGTAATAATAATTCAAACTGTCAAGAGGGAAAACAGTGTTATATCAATTAAAGATAGAGAGACAGGTGAAAACAAAGAAATCTCTTGACAAGATTTGAATACTGAAAGGTACACAATCAAACTGCTGTTCACGAGAACAAAATCTCATGTGATTTTAAAGCCTACCAAGATTCAAAGAAATTGGTTAAAATGGACGGTTATACAGCCTACCAAGTTTGAACTGATAAAAAAAAACTGAGGAAGGAGATCTCTATACAAAATTTAAATGCTTGAAAAAACAGGTGCAATGACTCCTGTAAAGGGAAACATAACTTCATATCAGGGTGATTACGATGAAGTTTGAATAAAATTGGTTGAAAACTGAGCAAAGAAATCCCCGGATAAGAGCAACATAATGAAAACAACATGGAGCAGTAACTCTTCCAAAGTCAAATCAAGCAGTCATTCATGAAAACACAACCTTAAGTCACGATGGATAAGCTGGATGAACTGAAGTTTAAGATGGACAGACGGAAAATGTCAAACCACAATACGTTAAAATATTTGGTAATTTTTTTTATCCCAACTAGAATCAAACCATTGTGATAATACAGGACCCTGTAAAATGAGCATGAAAAACATGCTCTGTTAACTGAGTTAGAGATCAACCCACACCAACCTTTTAGCCGAGTGACCAAGACACTTTTAACTCTACATGTATATACTTGGTACTCCAATACCAAGCTAGTCCTTATATTAGGAACATCAGTATGTGATCTTTCTTCTTGTCTGCAGATCTAGTATTTTAAATTCTGAGTGATTTATTAAAACATATGAGGCCTCTGTGATAACCCTGGAATGTTTGTTATCAACTGAAGACATAATGTATCCTGTTTATGCCTACCTCAAATGGGACTGTATTTCTATCTCCCTTCGAAGCTGATGCTCAACACCAGCTTTCTGTAATTGTGACTTGAACAGAACCTGAAAGAGTTGCAAGATATGTACCATACAGTTGAATCATTATATTCTACGACAAAACAAGTATTTTTTGTCATTTTTTTTCAATACACTTAATCATATATAAAACAATAAGTAACCCAATAAACATGTCTGTTTTCATTGAAATGGAACTGGAATTTGTGGCAAAATTGCTGTTATACAGTGACAATACAGTGATAAATCTACACGCGAGTCTGGAGTCCAGTAAAATTTTGATGGGACTCATAGAATTTCTGAAAATATTTCAAATTCACAGTGTGGAACCCATTGTTTTTAGCAATAAAGTTAAAATGACTCATGAAAATAAATCATAGATCAAGTACTGGTTATATCCATTTAAATCTGAACCTATATTCCCATAGAAAATTCTGGAGAAAATGTTTTGGTGTACATCATCAGGCATAATTCATCATGACATCCAAGACAGGTAAAAGATTGAAAAAACAAGCTGTTGAAATTCTGATAGTTTGAATTTCAGTAAATGTTGCAGGATCGATAAAGTCATCTATTGCCTTTCTGTCAGAAGCCAAAATACAGCTTATATTTTCAGACACTGACCATTTATTGATTTATTTATTTATGGGTAAATGTATGTCCAATCCGAACTGAGATATTGAACCCAGGTCTCCTTGGAGACAATCATAGAGGCATGGAGTCACCTACCCGACCATTAAAGTATTATATTATGAAAACTTCAACCAAATATTTTCCATGCAGGCAAATTATTAATACATGTATTGATATATGCTGACACATTGGTTCTTGTATAAGTTTCTCTGGTATGTTGTACACAAATTTACTATGTTACTTGTTTTATGGTGAACAGTCTTACCTTTATTGCTACAACATATTTGGTCGATTTCTCTCTGGCCAGATATACATTCCCAAACTTTCCTTTACCTAATGGTCTTCCTATATCAAAATCCTGCAAACACCATTTTTTCCTGAAAAGCAGTAAGTATAATACTTCACATCAAAAATATCGGAAATCAAAAGTCTGAAAAATGTTTGAAAATTCATCACAGAATATTAGTACTTGGCAGTTCATACCTTTCTGGTTGTGTGCAGGTGTTTTCCTTGGCCTGTATCTCAGCTGTTGTACCTGGTTTGACTGACTGTACATCTGTGCTGCTAAAGTTGTTTACAGGTTTCAGTACTCGCCCAGGCTCTGTGGCCATTTTCAAAGACTGGTCAAAACTGCACTAGCTAACTGGACACCTAGAATATCAAGGTCATGTCTGTAAGCAACTTGCTAACAAGTATTACAATACTGCCAAAACTTTTCTTAACATGTACATTGGATACCAACGTTGAATTCTGTAATACAATTACTGGGTGGGGTGGGGGAAAGCGAACTCCCTAAAGGCATTGTCAGGAGTCTTTTTGTTTTGTTTTTTAGGCTTTTTTTCAAATAGATTTATTGTAATAAGTTTAAAGTATTCACACCAATTATTGCAGTACAATAAAAAAACAGCTTTTTGCTCCTAAATATACATATAGTTTAATCATAAGCTTATGTACACCTTGCAGTCAGTTATTGTGAAAACATGTAATTTCGTGTGACGGTGTGTTAAAAAGTACTTCATGACTTACTGCATAATAACTATTCTGATTTCAATGGATTTTTCTCCTTTGAGATGAGAAAACATTCAGGTTCCATTATATCTGACCTTATCAACATTATACTTTCTTGGCCTTGTGGTAATGTGTATAGAGGGGGGAGCAGGGTATGGCAGGCCAAGTTGTCCTTTATTCATAAATCAATATTGAACCTGTGCTTTACTAAATGATCAGATATCCAATTTCTAATGTAGTACCTTATTTACTAAATTTAATATATTATTCCATTCATTATGTAAGATGTATCTTATTAGCTTATCTTTGAGAAATTTTACTTCGTCCATTCAGTTATACTTCATAATTTCACTTCAATATTCATTTGATATTTCTCTACTGGTGACAATTTATAGGAATTCGTCAAAGAGAAATATCTGCTTTAAGTCCAGCTCTTCATGTGAATCCGAGTCGAGACAAAAAAATGAGTAGGCCTCGGCTGGTTTCACCTGTTCAACCACTGCCATACGTATTTCTCATCATCTCTTAATCAAACCAAATATAACATAATAGTTACCTTCTGATATAACCACCGAAACCTCTTATATTTTAGAGAAAAACTGCCAACGATAGGATAAATCAAGAACGATATGCTTCCATTGTTGACAACCTACCAGCGGGTGCTATTTCCCGAAGCCCTTGTTTGAAATTCGTGTCGGGGCATTTCATTGGTTGTAATATTTAGAGTCATTAAAAGACGCCGCAGTCAAATAGGATTATTTTGCACAGGCCAGCAGAATATACCGACCACAACAAAACGTAACCGATCACTACTTGTATTTTTTCCCTTATTTATTCATTTAAAGTTGACGTTACTCATTGTGACGAGGTAATATATAAACAACAAAATGCCAGAAAATGGGTAATTGTGGTGACTTCACTTTCCAAGAATTGTTCAAGTGTTATGGAGAGGAGGTAACTCGATCGAAACCGACGAGAATCGGCGACAAGTTCCTGATATTTTTCTGTATGGGCAGCGAATACTAAGGACAATAAGTTTTTACCTATAGATTGAATATACATGGATTTTATACCGTTCTTCCGAAAGGATAAGCAAAACCAAATAATATGTCAATCAAGGTTAAAGAAATATTCTAACAAGTTTACGTTATTACAGCCATTCCAGAATAATTGACCCACTTAGAAGAGGTTGAAACTACCTTGTGTCGCAGTGTCGACAAAATAAATATTTTACAACAACTTTCCTGTTCCTACAATTTGTTCTAGGTATTGTCTGACAAAATTAATTACCTTGTTCACAACTAACACTTATATTTTTCAGAAGCGGATGGCATTATATTATAGTAAATAGACAATAATAAACGATTTTGCAATGTCGCTTTAGTTGTCTTTGATATTGACAGTTGAAGCTCACACAATGTTGTGGCGAGGTATGTATAAATCAAGTACTGTTTCGGTTGCTAAAAATACGTTACATGACAACAAAATACTTTTTACAAGCCCTCTCTACGCTACTGTTTTTAAAACCTAATGCAACATTGTCGCCTTAGACGGTCTGACATCCGTAACGCCTAAAACTATAACCGGTGTTTCTATATTTTCTGGATTTGTTGCTAAATAACTTCACTAAAATCACTCGTTATACATCACTTACGATCGCCATTGCGTTTATTTTAAAACAGACAGACAGACAGACATTCTTTATTTCCTCTTTGCAAGAGATTATTGTCAATCAATACAAAATAAATATATTTACATTTTAAATTACATAAAGATATTTCTCACAGGCAGGGAAAAGAGAATTACATCAGTGCATCCATCTCGTTAACCATTCCTTTCAAATTAACTGCCATATTTACCATCAAAAGCTCCCATTCCGATTTATCTAATTGTACATTCGTTCGGTCTCCTAATAGAAAGTTACACTGATTTTCATCGTTTAAATTTGAAAACAGGATATAAGATTGCACCTCTATTGCATTCACCACACCGTCCATCAACACATCACGACTTTGAAACAATTTTGGACACTCTATCAAAAAGTGAAACACAATGTCAGAACTGGACTTTCCACATAATTTACAAAGTACAATGTCTTGTTCAAACATAAATGAGTACTTCATTAACTCTACTAGGTTCCACATATATTTATGCGACTTTTGTTTTCTACTTAGCTCCAGTATAGGATTAATTCCTTGATAACAATGAATGGCAGCATATCTGGACAGTTCAGTTTTTGTAGACAGCTTTTCTCTCCATAGTATATAATAGAAGTCACTAACGCACCTTTTCATAAAATGCTTCCAACATAATTTTGGCGGCAAAACCTCGTTGGTTAGAAAGTCCATAATAAAAGATTCTATATTAAACTTTTCCATGATGCTACACACATCTGGAATAAATCCTATTTGTACATCAGATAGCTCCCCAAACATGAATTGACATAATCGAATAACGAATAATGACTCCCAAATAAAGCGTATATTTCCCAAACATAGCTTATTCCAAAATAACAGTTTTTTAATTTCAACCTCACTCCATACATTAAAAGCTCCTAGACATTGCGTTGTTACAGAAGTTGATGACGTTTTAGATAGTCCGATGCACCGTCTACAGGCATACCTATACATTACCTCTAATTCTATAACAGATTTATTAGCATAATTGTTCCAATGTTCGCTTCCATATAGCATACAAGGGTAAACGATTGATTTGATAATGTTAAAACTTGTCACGGGATTGACAAGTTTGTCAAACACGTTCTGCTGATCAATATATACAACACATCGCAATGTCGCATTTAAGGGCCTGACATCCGTAACGCCTTTAAATTGAATATAAAACTACAGAGAGCAAAAGTTTTGCATATATTTGAGTTAAAGTTAAAAAAGTTTAAAAAAAAACACGAAACTGACCTGATATTATTTGTTCTGATCAGTGAAATAGAAATAACAATGCTGAAATCTGACTTCCATAACGTCTGACATCCGTAACAGAAATTTGTTGAAGCCGTATCGGGGTTCCGCCAGGGCATGTATTCCAAATAAGGGAATCGGATGTAACTGAAATAACATACAAAACATGGAAGAGGGTACAGGACGGTGATAAATATAGACACGAGGAAGTAGAAGAAACGGAAAAGAAGGACGATTTCTTAGACAAAATGAAGACCGATCTTAGCGAATTTAAAGATCACATAGAAAGAGTAAAACATCAATACAGCGAACTTAGGAGACTTAGAGAAAACCTCCCCCAAAAGCATGCAGTGGTATGGATGGACTTCGCAGAAAACTTCCAGTGATCTTCAGTTGAAGAAGTTCAATCTGCCTATTGGAACATTGCGATGGTTAGCCTACACACAATGGTGGTATACTTTCCGGATAATCAGCAAGATAACGCCAAATCCATGCAAAGTTAGGTCGCAATTTCCGATGTCCTGTGCCACAACGCAACTGACGTTTATGCTATACTGTTGAAGGTTATTCCTAAGATAAAGGAACTTGTTCCAGACCTTGAAACCATACATTACCTGACAGATTCTCCAACCAGTCAGTACAGAAACAAAACAATATTTCAATTAATTTCACAGCATAAAGAGGAATTTTGCGTCAATGCACGATGGAACTACCTGGAAAGTGGTCATGGGAAAGGGCCGTGTGACGGCCCAGGAGCTAGTGTAAAAAGAGCTGCTGGTGACGCCATAAAACAAGGCAGATCTTCTATCCAAAATGCGGATGACTTTTTCAAATGGTCAAAATCTGCTGTGGAATGCGGCAGTAAAGTGTTGTACGTTCTCTACACGCAGTCAGACTACGACGAAGCCCAGGCACTACTCTCCCAACGTCCAACTGCACGTGCAGTCCCAGGAACTTTTAAAGTTCACTATGTGTCGTCATATGTACCAATGGAAGTGTATACCAGGAACATATCTTGCTATTGTGACCAATGTCTAGTGGACGTTGTCTCAACCTCATGTGACGGTTACACAAAACACAATCTTGCTCCAGTAAAAAACAGAAATCAAACATCGACAGTCCATGTAGTGACAAATCAAGAAACGACTACCAAAGAAACAAACGACAAACCAACAAAGGAAACAGAACATACAGAAAATTGAACAAACGAACCTAAAGAAGCCGATGTAGTCATGGACGAGCAAGACCTACCAGGGGGGGTCTACAAAGAATGGTGAACATGATGGCGACTTGGCAGTTGAAATTTCAATAGACGATTGGGTTGCTGCCATTTACAACACAACATGGTACATTGGTCAGGTCATCGAAGTAGATGAAAACGACGGCGATGTTCTTGTTGACTTTCTGGAGAAATCTGGCAGAGTAGCAACCACGTTCAAAAAGCCTTTCAAACCGGATCAAATATGGATTAAAAAAACAGAATATTTTGCATATTCTGTGCACGCCGCCAGTCCTCGTTGGCAGTCGCGGGAGATCGCTAAAAATTCATGATCTTGACTTGGAACTAATTAATCAAAAATTTGAAATATAACCAATTAGTGCATGTGAGATTTTGTGGCTCTTTCATGGTTTCGATCTGCCTCGTATAGGAATTAGCAAATTCTAACTTCCGTAAAGAAAGCATATTGTTGGCCTAAAATCATTTCCACAATTTTGCAGTGTGAATACAGAAAGTAAATCTCATAAATATACAAATATGAACTAAAAGTAAGACTTTGGCATGTTTCTGAAGCATATAATTTGAACTTATAATGTCTTTATCGAATGTCAATCTGACTTCCGTAACGTTTTAAGATATCCTTTTGAAACGTATATAATTTTGTCTGAAAATTTGTAAATATGTCCAGTTATTGTTAAATGCATTTTTTCCGTTCCAGTTGTTCTAAAGAACTGTATGTTATTCTGTTAGTTTCTTTACCGGTAGGTTGTGTTGTTACCTTCTGACCTCCGTAACTAAAATCCTTCTGTATATAAAACTTGTTGCGCAATCAAATCATCGTTTTGCACAATTATGACACTTTTTAAAATACCCAATGATATCAAAGAGTGAAATAATGGATTGATTGATGCCAATAATGGCATAATAAACGTGCATGATGTTGTTGTTTTGACGAATAATAAAATTACATGAAAAATGTTGTAATGTTTCATGCGATTTCTCATTGTCACAGTGTGTATAATGAACGATATGTATAAAATGTTTTCTAGTCTTTATTCACATCAAGTACTTTATAGAAATCAGAAAAGAAAGGTACGATAAATCCATTACTTTTCTCACCAGTGGTAATAAAATATTTTCTAACCTCCGTAACGACAAATTTTGTTAACTAATTTGTGGTTCAGACATTTTTTGATTTAGAAGAGCCGTGTGTGTGAAAACTTGTCAAATCACTCCCGTAATATTCTACTTCGATTTTAAATACATTCACTGAATAGAAAAACTTTTTTTTATTTTTCATCACTTTTCATACAATAGTGGGTCAATTATTCTGGAATGGCTGATTAACGTATATAAGTATATATATATATACGTGTATAAGTAGCGATTCTTTTTAAATTCTTTATTTTAGCTATCAAATATGTAAAAAAAAAAAAAAAATCTTTTTCAACATGTTCTTGTCAGTAAATCCATATCAACCATTTTTATACAATTTCCTAATTCTAATTTGAAAAAAATGACAATTCTTTCTTGTCTCGATAATCCCTTCGGCCGATGGACACCGAAGGAACTTTATAACGGACAGAAACCATGTGTTTTCATGTCAAATCTCTGTATGTTTCGAATTCTAGACACTGAGCATCTATGTGTCCGCAACGAAAACAATTCTCGATGTCACACTTCGAGGAAAGTAGTCTACCGGTACATCTCTGACACGTTCTAAATGGATTATCGGGACACCTTTTACACTACCGCTCTCGATTTAGATTGATAACTTTGTTTTAGTTTGAAGTTCTATGTATGTGATGTAATTTATGTAATATTGGTGTCTTGATAAAGGGACAGGTTGTCTCGAAAATTTGACTTTGTGCTTGTCCGTACTGTCCGTATAACTTCCTTGATCATATATATATCTATTCCAGTAATACACATCCAACAAACATTTGTTTGTGTTAGGATCCAGTATCAATATTGGACCATACCGTCGATATTACTATATATATGTAACAAACAAAAACTTGACCACACACATTTCATTGAAGATGTTAAAAACACCAGAAACTTGCTACAGGGAAAGCTGTTGTGGGTAATTGTAGGAAATGATTTTGCATTCATAAGTCAGAAAAAGGTACACAAATTAAAATGGCGAACTTTATATCAGCGGTTATCCAAAGAATGTCTAAAGTATCTCAACAAGAACGGGACTGTGTATTGCATCATTGTCGATATATGTGTGATGGTGGAACAGGTTCAAAGGATGACAGCCTTATCAGCATCATATCCGGGAAGGATTAGAGACACGGAGTGTTTACGAGGAGATCTGCTGTGATGTTTTAAAAGTGTGTGTATATGTATTTAAAATGAGTGTTACATATTACGTTGTGTCAAGCCGAACATACCAATCTAAGACACAGTCCGTGTTCTCAGCTTAATACTGGGTCAAAGTACGGACCGTGTGTTTGGGAATTTATACTAAGCAGATACCAGTGGAAAAAACATTACATATCTGTAATTATATCGTGATGTCATATATTAATGTGATCCCAGGACAAGATTGCTTGTATGTAAACGTGCACTTTTGAGTGTGTGTGTGTGTGTTTGTTTGTTTGTTTTTTGCGTTTTGTTAGGTTACCTGAGACAAAGTCTCATGGTGACTTATTATGATACCCTTTTGATACCCCTGCTAAACTTTGAACTTCAAAAAAAATCACTGCACCGATTTTGATAAGTTACACTGATTGTTATAGAAATAATGCCACTGAAGTCAACTAGTGCTTCTCGACAAAGAATTGTTAAACAAAAGTCTACTTTTCTCTCAGTTCTAGTGCGAGGTATATAGAATTAATATATTCGGTAGGTTCGACGTCTTATTCAAACATATCACAATTTCCTAGCCTTTCACAAATAATTGTTAAAATGCCGGGTATCAGGTAACAAAGTAAGCACAGAAATACCCATTTTCCACACACCTTTATAATACAGAAAAGAAAACGGGAAATTATTTCATGACAGTTTTAAAATTTCCAATTTCTGATAGAATTATCTATGACATTAAAACAGGGAAGTTTTGCTAATTAGTGTTCTCTAGTTCTAGTGAATTTAACTGTATTATTGCTTTTGGGAATAAAACAAATGAGGGTCAATATCACATATGAATATGAAGAAATTGGGACACATCATAAAGCATTGACGTATATTATCAGCTTGGCCGTTAGTTGGTTTGTACCTGGTAGTACAACCCGTGATTTACAAAATGTGATGGGATTGTCCTTGCCTGTTAGTATCTTATTGAATTTGACTCCACTAGTATTCACCAAACATGTCTTGATACTTTGTCGTACGTGAACTTACACTGTTATAGTGATTTATTGATATGAATTAACAATACAGACATATTCTATAACGTGGATAAAGAGATGTTTTTATCCATCACGTGGTAAAACACACACAATGTAAAAATAATTTTGGTGTCCTTCATTAAAAACATCTAAGGAAGTCACGTGCGGAGAAAATGCTGTTTATGACAACACAGATAACATTGATCTACTTCCTTGTTTATTAACCATCAGAGGTCATGGAATGGTTGAGTAGGTGGCGACATCGTGTCTGATCACACAGCGTTCATTTCTGACATCCGATAAAAAAAAACTTCCTTTATGTCATGGTAACGCTGTTCCTGATGGAGATAACATTCGAGTAGTACATTTGTACAGGAAGAAAATGGTTATGCGTATGTGTTGTTCGTAATATTTCCTGAAATACCCAGCCCAATAATGATGGTAGGTGGAAGGACAGGACACTACAATAACATTGATTTGTATGCAACGACATCGTTGCTTTAATGGGCCTGATGTCTTTAGGCCTTTCAGCAGATAGATGAAAATATATACCCACGGGAAACTGACACGAATTCCCAACCCACGAACCATATATATGCCTATTATACAATGATTTTGTAATACATATTTATGGTCTGTGGGTTGAAAAATTGTGCCTAGTCCCTGTGTTTATACCTGAATCGGTTGGCCGGGGAAACCTTTACATGAAGATGCCTAATGTAGGAACACGAAAAAAAAAACACAAAAATTGGTCAGGGAAAATGTCAAGAATTGATAGATGCTAAGCTTTTGTGCAAGTTGTATGCCTTTCTCTGTTGACCTTGTGTTTGAGACGGTCTATATAACTATTAATTGTCGTATAACTGGTTTTAGACATCCACAATAATTTTTCAAAACATTCGTTGTTCATGTTCATTGTAAACCAACCAAAATACCTCCTGATTATTTTCTATTGATTTTTTTTTTTTTTTTTTCAGAACATGATCATCTGATAGTGGGCTATTAAAATCGCTCCATGTCCGTCAATAATTAGTCATCATGGATTTTGACCATAACAATTCATGGCTATATCATGGAGGGGTTTTAAATTTCATTTATGAGTCAGGAAGTAGAAAAGAAGTTAAAAGATCTGTTAAAGAGGAAATACAGATGAAATGAAGGTTGATGCCAAATACCTGATAAAAGCATCAGGCAGATCTATGCCATCAATATTTTGTATATTATAACTAGTTGCCAAAAAAAGAATACCTTTCATTGGTAAATTATTTATCTGTGAAGAATATGTCCATAAACACTTTCTAAATCACAATGTTAATGCTTTACATAAATTTATCAACCTTTGAAGGCCTTTTGATTCAATTATTTGTCCAAACATGTTTTCAGTTTATCTTAGACCAATATAAATTCATTAATACAGCTATATCAAAATTACCTGAAACACATTATTTTGATATATTTCAACAGACATTGTGAATTCAACCCTTATATTTAAATATATATATATTGTGCCAAAAATAAGGTCCAACGCATCTGATGATATTGCCTTTTTATTTACATAATAGAAATATGCATGTGTATCAATATCACATTACATCATTTTATTTGTCATACATAACATCAACTTACCAAGAGAAATACGTCATTTATACTCATATATTACTCACACAATGTTACATTCATGATGAACTAAGAATAGCAAATGGCCTCTAAAATTTGTAGTTTTACTTGTTGGGTAAGAGAATGTTTAATTTTGGCATCAACAGCTTTTGCAAAGTAGGAGAACACATAATTAATTTCACAGAAAAAAATGTCATCTAATACACATGAATTTCCTTTCGAAAAGATTTCATCTGAAAATGGAAAAAAGAAAAAAAAAACCCACACAAAGAACAGGCACACAGATATGTTTTACACTGACAATAAGTTCTGGACAGTTCAATGAGAGATCATAGGCATGCTGTGTAATACAATCATGAAATGAATAATAAGAAATACTGGTGTATATATCAACTTCCTAGACAGGCATGGAATATATCTTTGGCAATAAGCAACTTCTAGCACTGCAAACTATATCCAAACAATTCAGTGCCCCCAAATTTGTAATTTTCTTTAATTCAAGACTGCTCTTTGGGAAACTTGTAATATTTTATATCAATGCAAATGCTTTGCTGACTTAGTGGTGTTGGTTAAAAGAAGACCGCAGAAAAAAGTTTAATAACCCTATTTTTATACTGAATTTTTGCTAAACATTTAAATTATATTACAAATGTACGTCGATCAATCTTGTTAGCTCAGATGGAAGTACAGGTCTTATTTATCATAGGGAACGACATGCTCGGGCAGGTGGCCTAATCTACATTTCTGATCCCTGAGGATCACCAACTCTGATCACCTGACACGAGAAGGCACATACATTATAACTGTGCCACCCAATCACAATCAAAACAGCATTCTTATTATTTGTTAATTTGTTAAACAATCGTAAGTTATTTCATTTGATAATTCTATTCAATAAACATACTGGTACCTACATGTCTTCAATAATCCTTGTCAGAATAAGTAGAGAGGAAAGACTTCAGGAAAGTTTAAATAGAAGAAGCAGGTATTTTGGTCCCTTCAGTATCAAGGGGTCATCACCAGTGGGTATATATATTTTAAAAGAGTTAAACACATACAAATGTTTTACATAACTCAATAGCAATATTCGTATAAATCTTTTTAAAATTTGGCATGAAAACAATCATTTGTTTTGTTTTTTCTAATCTGAAAAGGCTATTCAACTTTTCATTACCGAGATGTGTTGCCAATATGTCATCGCCTGTTTAATTACCGTAAGTAGATACACAAATGTGTACCTTAGTCTATTTTTACCAACCTTTATTCTGCTGTCGTTGAAGTCATCACACATACAGTTTTGTTTATATTTATTTACAGAAGTTTGTATCAGATTGATGATTTCTAAATAACCAGTTAAAATACAGTAAATCTATACAAAACGAGTACGATTATGCTTCAAGTTCACACCTTGACATTTTTTTTGCGTATTATGCCTGAAATTAAATGTCTCGCACAAGAGCTTGGTACAGACACTCACTGGTAAAAACCAGAATAGACAAACAGCAAGACATCATCATTACATCAATTTGAAGAGAACATACATAAGGTTAAAATGGTGATATAAGACTTTCAATTAAATGACTATGTAAGCAACACCTGTGACATATTTGATTCCATTTTTGATGAATGATTAAACATGTACTTGATCTGATTTTATGTGCATTCATCATTTAATAACCAAAACAAAACCAAACATCTGATCAAAGACATGTTTAAGGAATGACTTTGTGGGATTAGCAAAACTCCACAAATAACTCTCCTGTTAGCTTGACAGTGGAAGATCCCTGCTCAATGAAAGTAATTGTAAATGAAGAGTTTCATGCAATGAAACCTCCCTAAAGGGTATCTCAAATATTAAGATAATTTTTGTTCAATCCCTTAATGACTGTATTTTATGATGCACTATTAAGACATCCCTGCTAGTCCACTTTAAAAACGACCGGTTTGCATTGATTTTGACCTCACTAATCATATCATAAAATGAAGATATAATAATGACAAGATTTTTTTCCCTATGAAACGACTTAACTTGTGGATACACATCAAATCCAACTAGAGACAATAAATAGCACTGCAATCAATAAAATGTCACGTGTTCCTGTCATTAGTTTAACCTATAGGCCACACAAAACAAATTATGTGATTCTCATAATTTCTATCAAACATTTCACAACATATCAAAAGAATTGAGGTCAATGTACATTTCATGAAAGAAACATTTTTCTTCAGCCAAACTGATCCAGTGTTTTTAAAACCAATAGATTGCTATATTAGACAAGGACTGTTAAATTTAGCATTTCCCTTTAAATGTTACACTTCTGGCATCAAATGATTTTGATATATATCCACAAAAACGTATTCATCATCCCTTATTAAAAAACACTCTTTAACTACTAAAAATATTCACACCTTTTGAGTATCTTGATAACAGTGCAGTATTTCGTGATAAGAATTATTTCAAAAAATTCTTTTGAGTAAAGATATCAACCACCAAAATGTAAAAGGTAAAGAGCAGAAAAAACATGTGGCTGGCATCAGGAGCAGAAATTCCTGAGTAAATGGTATCTAAAGTCAATAAATTATCACAATATACAACGTCTCCTCTCTCCCACGGTGTCAAGGATGTCTTTGTGATCCATACCACTTCCACAAGATACATCAATAATCTCCTTCAACATCCAAAACCTGGAATTTCCGTTGCATAAGTTACACAGGTAACCTCCACTTCTTGAAAATAAAGACATGTCTATCCTGAGAATACAGACATGTTGTCCTGACGATCACAAAAATGCTTTAGAGAAAGAATTATAGACTAGGATGTTACAGGATGTAAATTGTCTTTGATCCAGGGATGTTCCAGCACTTTGTCTAAAGTAATCCGCTGATTTGGATCACGTTTCAGCAGCTGAAAACAGAAAAAACATAGGAATCATGTGTAAGAAAAAACTTCATAAAAATATAAACAAGTAAGTATTGAGCAAGAGGCACATGGGCCTATGAAGACCTATATATGAAAGAGGCCAAATAGACCTACATCGCTCAACTACTCTACAGTTTACAAAGTAGACATCGTCTGTTCATAAAAACATTTTCCGCAAACTTGATATCCTCTCCATAATACAAACTACTACACTAATACCATGATTCAGGACCTATTGCTTGTTGAAAAAGAGAATTTAAAGATCTCGACTCATTTGATCCCAGAGACCTTAAGGTTGGTCAAGGTTAATGATTTAAATAAATTAAAAAAATTGTCAAAGTAATTAATTTAAAGAAGCTTGGTAGTGCGTTATCCAAGCATGCTACAGAGCCAATATCAGCACCCTGAGCCTTTTGGTTACTAAGAAGAAGTTGTTTAAAGATTTTGACACATCTGTCTCCAGAGACCTTGGAAATGGGTCAAGGTTAATCACATAAATGAATTTGGAAGCCTTTCATCCAATCATCTTAGACCATCACTACAGCATCCTAGACCTTTTACTTAACGAGAAGTTGTTTAAAGATTTCAACAAATTTGACCCCTGTATCCTTCAAAGTGGGTCAAATAAACTCATTTGAAAAAACTTGAGGGCCCTTCAACCCCTCATCCTATAGGCCAAATATCAGCATCCTTGGCATGTTAGTTATTGAGAAGTCATTAAAAACCTTTAAACATATTAAATCCCTGTGACCGTGAAAGTGGGTCAAGGTCACCCTTTTAAACTTTGTACCCTTTATCCTATCATGCTACAAGCCAAACAAAAGAACCTTTGGCCTTTTGATTATTGTGAAGAAGACATTTGAATGGAAAGGTGATGCATGGCACATGATGACAGAGAAAAAAGCTAATACTCAATCTGAAACACTTGATTATATGACAAAAGATAGGAGAAAAGTGAAGCAGTCAAGGATATCTTATTGTGATTCATCAAAGAGCTATGATTAATTAAATCCACGAGAACATTATTTTTATTGCAATCTTCAAATCATTCTATATATGATTAAAAGTGATAGTTATTCACAATCCGTTTCAGTAACAGAGGGTAAGGCAAGTACTCCTAAAATGTGTTACAGTCCTACTGGAAATTTGCAGCTATAATCTGGAAAATAGAATTGTACACTAATAACTAACTTCAAGACAGAAAGCAAGAAGTTGACTTTTGAATGTTAATAGAAATTCCATTGTAATAAGATTTTAAACAGCATAAGAGTGTGATTCACTTCTTACATTTGTGATAAGATTTTTAGCTGGAGAAGATACATATGGTGGGAACTGAAGATCAACTTTCGTTATCCGTCTGTATGTGTCAGAATTCGTCTCTGCCTCAAATGGAGGCTTTCCCACAAGGAACTCGTAACATAGCACACCAAGGCTCCACAGATCCACCTTTTCGTCGTGAAGTTTGCCCTCAATCATTTCTGGTGGTAGGTAATCTAATGTGCCACACAATGTGGTCCTCCTGGAGGAAATAAATTTTAGATAAATGTAACATATGCCGTCATGGATCTACACTATTTGCAACATTGATATATTTGCCACATGTTTATATATTCAACATAAATCCTCACTATATTCAGATCAGTACAGATAATTCCCTTACCTGGATGATGGTGCATGGACTGACCAGCCAAAGTCAGCAATTTTGAGGTCCCCTGTATGACCGAGAAGGAGGTTTTCTGGTTTGATGTCTCTGTGGATGACCTTTTTACTGTGGCAATACTGCAAGGCGCTGGCCAACTGGTTTATATACTGAAGATATATAAACAATGTCAGGCAATCAACAATTATTTCTCTTTAAAGAGAGACTTTGTTGAACAGATTGAACATGCTTCACAATAAAAATGACAAGAAATCAGACTTTTAGAGTCTGAAATACACACTTTTATTATCCACTAAGCTTCTTCTTGTTGAAAAATAGATTTTTGGGAAATTTTCCTTTGTTATGTAATCTTTTGTTAGGATATTTAAGTGTAACTTTGGACTTAACACATGCTACTTTTTATCTATAAATAAAAACTGCATGAAACCAGATATAGCTTACATTAACTGTTCTCTTCTCATCAAATCTTTTGTCCTTCATCAGCTCCTTGTAAAGCTCTCCTTTAGGTGCATACTCCAGGATGAGATAAACACGGGATTTGTCATGGAAATATCCAAACAACCTCAAGATGTTTGGATGTCTACAAAATTGGATCATAACTTTGTAATATACATCTGCATAAAATAGAATTAATATCTGATCATAGTTCCAAGTTCTGGTTGATAGACATTGATCTGTCCTTAGTTTTTTATTGACATTCCATACTAATATGATAAGAATACTGAAGAAAAACTATTTCTACAGCAAATGAATATATGACTGTAATATCTACATGGTAAATAAGGTTACTACCCTGTAAACCCACACCTCTATTACTCCTGTTAGGTACTTGATCAGTGAATATTGTCTGTTGACTTATCAGCTTTGTGCTTACCTCAGATGGGACTGTATTTCTATCTCTCGTCGAAGCTGATGCTCAACACCAGCTTTCTGTAATTGTGACTTAAATAGCACCTGCAAATATTACAACAAATCCGTAACATCAACAGAACGTTTTATGCTCATGATACCAATTAAACATCCATAAAATATATATGTCACTGACATATGACTAATGGTATACTTTTACATTAATGAATACTCTTTTCACAAGCCTGGGAATAATTCCATAACTTACTTGAGAATATGAACGTATGCTAGGGCCTGCCTTAAACCCCTCCCCCACCATCCAAGAACAGGCTGACAAGTAACCTCTGGGTGTTCTCTCCTTGCCTGTACTTTACTGACAACAGAGACCCATTATCATTTGTTTGTCGATACAGTGCAGCACAGTCAAAATATAATGGGCATTGGTTTGTCTCTGTTACAGATCAATTAAGGGTGTTTATAAATAACAAGCATCTCTGTGGTACTGTTTACATAATATCTACAGTCCCATACGTTTTCTTTAAAATTAGATTATATCGTTTACTGAGTGTTATTTAATATTTTGTACACACTGTTTAAAAAAATAAAAAATATTGTCAACTGAAATGGAATCATTTCATTATATCCATAGAATGCAGAAGTGTCAGCATTCAGTTAGCTGGTCACATTACACCACCATAGGGATTCACTGAAGGTATGGAAGGATTACACCACCATAGGGATTCACTAAAAATATGGAAGGATTACACCACCATAGGGATTCACTAAAAATATGGAAGGATTACACCACCATAGAATTCACTGAAGGTATGGAAGGATTACACCACCATAGAGATTCACAGAAGGTATGGAAGGATTACACCACCATAGGGATTCACAGAAGGTATGGAAGGATTACACCACCATAGGGATTCACTGAAGGTATGGAAGGATTACACCACCATAGGGATTCACTGAAGGTACGGAAGGATTACACCACCATAGGGATTCACTGAAGGTATGGAAGGATTACACCACCATAGGGATTCACAGAAGGTATGGAAGGATTACACCACCATAGGGATTCACTGAAGGTACGGAAGGATTACACCATGATAGGGATTCACTGAAGGTATGGAAGAATTACACCACCATAGGGATTCACTGAAGGTATGGAAGGATTACACCACCATAGGGATTCACTGAATGTATGGAAGGATTACACCACCATAGGGATTCACTGAAGGTATGGAAGGATTACACCACCATAGGGATTCACTGAAGGTATGGAAGGATTACACCACCATAGGGATTCACAGAAGGTATGGAAGGATTACACCACCATAGGGATTCACTGAAGGTATGGAAGGATTACACCACCATAGGGATTCACTGAAGGTATGGAAGGATTACACCACCATAGGGATTCACAGAAGGTATGGAAGGATTACACCACCATAGGGATTCACTGAAGGTATGGAAGGATTACACCACCATAGGGATTCACTGAAGGTATGGAAGGATTACACCACCATAGGGATTCACTGAAGGTATGGAAGGATTACACCACCATAGGGATTCACTGAAGGTATGGAAGGATTACACCACCATAGGGATTCACTGAAGGTATGGAAGGATTACACCACCATAGGGATTCACAGAAGGTATGGAAGGATTACACCACCATAGGGATTCACTGAAGGTACGGAAGGATTACACCATGATAGGGATTCACTGAAGGTATGGAAGAATTACACCACCATAGGGATTCACTGAAGGTATGGAAGGATTACACCACCATAGGGATTCACTGAAGGTATGGAAGGATTACACCACCATAGGGATTCACTGAAGGTATGGAAGGATTACACCACCATAGGGATTCACAGAAGGTATGGAAGGATTACACCACCATAGGGATTCACTGAACGTACGGAAGGATTACACCATGATAGGGATTCACTGAAGGTATGGAAGAATTACACCACCATAGGGATTCACTGAAGGTATGGAAGGATTACACCACCATAGAGATTCACAGAAGGTATGGAAGGATTACACCACCATAGGGGATTCACAGAAGGTATGGAAGGATTACACCACCATAGGGATTCACTGAAGGTACGGAAGGATTACACCACCATAGGGATTCACTGAAGGTATGGAAGGATTACACCACCATAGGGATTCACTGAAGGTATGGAAGGATTACACCACCATAGGGATTCACTGAAGGTATGGAAGGGTTACACCACCATAGGGATTCACTGAAGGTATGGAAGGATTACACCACCGTAGGGATTCACTGAAGGTATGGAAGGATTACACCACCATAGGGATTCACTGAAGGTATGGAAGGATTACACCACCGTAGGGATTCACACCACCGTAGGGATTCACTGAAGGTATGGAAGGATTACACCACCATAGGGATTCACTGAAGGTATGGAAGGATTACACCACCATAGGGATTCACTGAAGGTATGGAAGGATTACACCACCGTAGGGATTCACTGAAGGTATGGAAGGATTACACCACCATAGGGATTCACTGAAGGTATGGAAGGATTACACCACCGTAGGGATTCACTGAAGGTATGGAAGGATTACACCACCGTAGGGATTCACTGAAGGTATGGAAGGATTACACCACCATAGGGATTCACTGAAGGTATGGAAGGATTACACCACCATAGGGATTCACTGAAGGTATGGAAGGATTACACCACCGTAGGGATTCACTGAAGGTATGGAAGGATTACACCACCATAGGGATTCACTGAAGGTATGGAAGGATTACACCACCGTAGGGATTCACTGAAGGTATGGAAGGATTACACCACCATAGGGATTCACTGAAGGTATGGAAGGATTACACCACCATAGGGATTCACAGAAGGTATGGAAGGATTACACCACCATAGGGATTCACTGTTAAACTTAACAGAAAACGTGGGGATACCAATGTCATATGAGGGTATGAAAACACATGACATTCAGAATATTTCACTATTCTTTTTAAAGAATGAAGGTATTAAATATGCCATAACGGAATGGAAGGTTGGTCTCACCTTAAGTGCAACAACATATTTAGTCGATTTCTCTCTGGCCAGATATACATTCCCAAACTTTCCTTTACCCAATGGTCTTCCTATATCAAAGTCTTCCAAAGTCCATTTTTTCCTGAAATTAGAAAAAGAATACACTGATATCTGTTGATTGCAGTATTACAATTTAGACTTCTGATCACAGAAACTAATAACAGTTTGAAGTTCCATTCTCAGAAACTATATCTGATTAGGTGGCCTTTATCTAAAGGCATTAGAAACCTTCTCAAATTAGTCAAGAATCATTTGGCAACTCTTCGCTTTTTAGCTAATACAAAGACTTTTTATCCATCATTACTTCTAAAAGGGCAATATATTGTTCTAAATAAAGTAACAGTTCTTCAACACATGTGCAGCCAGTTCCTTCTGAACTATAAGCTGTGGATGTTAAGTCCCATTATATCATTGGCTGACAGTTTTGGTTTCCCATGTTGTTTAATTATTAACTGTTTTGTTTATTTCACAACAAATTCTGACAGCATATTCCAATATGGATCTGCAACAAATTTGTTAATACCAAATTTTGGAAAAAGAAAACATTTTCTTCACTGTAACATCTGTTTCATATAAACAATATTGAATAAAAAAGTGTCTATACAGTCTTTAGTACACAGTACATATCTCCTTTTAGGGAAAACATGTCCATAAGTATTGTGAAACTATATTTTAAAGGAAGACTTGTAATTTGATTAAAATTTTGTACTTTGTTGTTTCTCTCCTTAAATGTACAAAAACACAAGTGCAAATATGTAAAACATAAAGTGAGGAATTCCTTGGCAGTGATAAATATATATGCCAGTCCTAATTCCTGTGCTCTAAAATTTTGATGGGAATAGAATGATAACTGGAATTCAAATTCAAACTATCATTGTGAGGTCCAGTGTTTTTAGCAATATACAGTGCAACCTCCCTAAACTTCACAAAACAAATCACCTCTTGATACCAAACACAATAGCCATGTACGGAATGATGACCTCTTTATCATAGTAATAAAGACTTTCCCAATATCGATACCTCTCAATACCAGGGCTCTCACACCCCATTTTGGGACTGGGGCCCGGGGGCCTTAGAATTGGGGAAAATAATGGTGTTTTCCTTAGAATTGGGAAAACTTGGGGTCTAAATTGGGGAAAAAAAGATACTATTTTGCATTGGGAATGGGGCCGAATATCGGCTCCAAATCTGGCAGATAGAGAGCCCTGAATACTGAACCAATTTTATGTCCGAAATGATTGAAACAAATTGAAAATCACTTCACCAAAGCAAGGAACACAGATAAATTGAAAATAAGTACTGATGCAGAGTTAGAAAACTGCAGTTTATCATCTAAATTGTGGCTAATTAAATGATGTTATTTTAACACATACAGAATGAAAATATTAATCAAGTGTTATTTCAGAGGACAACTTTTCTTACTGATTAGCAAAAATATATATTCGTTAAATATATAGGTTGGTTAGACTTTCGGATAAGCCAACCTCCGACCAGGGCTTTGTTGCTCCTTAAGTAACATTACTTTGAGATTGCCAGGCAATGAGCAGATTTCATTTCTACGAAGGCCAAATGTAGTATACAATTATCACTATAAAGTTGCAATGTAAATGCTGAATGTGAATGGAATTGTTAAAATTATATTAAAGTCAGGACCGGTCAACTTGCTTCACTTCCACAAACTGAACCCTCTCTAAACTGGCCCAATATTCATGTCCCATACATGGTCAGTTTGAAGAAGTTTCATCGTAGTTGAAAAGGGCTCACGAATATATACTGTCGATTCATCACTGCCCTGGTCAACAAAATGTTAAACCTAGACAACCATTATTTTGAGAATTTTTGAGAGAATTTCTTTCACCTTGCTGCTTCCGTCACAGATGTAGTTTGAGTTTTCTCCTTGGTCTTGGCTCCACCACTTGTACTTGGTTTGACTGCAGCAGTGAGATCTGGACCACTAGAACTGTTGACAGGTTTCAGTACTCGGCCAGGCTCTGCAGCCATCCTATAAAACACAGAGAAAAGCAATTTCAGATTTTACTAGAAGTTAAATGGTAAAAATTCTGGTTTACTGACAATGTCAATTCATAATAAGCAGACCATTAGCTTTTATACTAACTCATTAAGGATATCCCAAGTAAAGTTTTTAGGATTCTTGAAATGCATCCCCCATGAAAATTGTAAGAATGTCTCACACAACAATATTCATTAATTCAATAAAGTGATTATGCATATAATCAATATGAAATTTTGATGAAAATCCAAGGATATCTCACAAGTGGGTGACAGCCTCAGAGGACATGTTCAGTTGAAATGCTAGAGCTAATTATGTTTGCCATAGTTTCAATAAAATTGTGAGTGTTTACATGAATTGTATCATGATTTCACCTCTGAAAGCTGCCAGATACCATCAGTGTGGATAAACAAAGTTCCAAGATGTTGCAGACATTGCATGATCCATGCAAGTTGGCAAATGTTATATATAGAAACTTTTCTCTAAAATCAACATAAAGACAAATTAACATCACCACAAATGCAAACATTTCTGGTCAGCTGACAATAGGTCATGAAACTGCTGACATGAAGCAGCTGTCAAACCTTATTTTGTTTATGATCAGTATCAGTGAATGTCAGTTTCATTGGAAATAAAATCAAAATTAACTTATAAAGGACGAAAAACCAACAAAACACAAAGGAAATTCATACGGAAACTATATCTAATACAAATTCCATGAAATTCAAGCTCATTTCCGAAAGTCATGGCCTCTCTATATGAAATTTAAGGCCCTCTAAGACTTTAATGTCATTTCCAAGGCTTTTCAAGACTAGGAATTGTTTAAAGAGCTTTTCAAGGCCTGTATGAAGCCTGATACAGTAGACATAGCTCTAATAAAGATTATATGAAAATTTGAATTTATAGATATGCCCATTTTAATTTCATAATCGTCTGTTTTTGAAGTAGTTATTGTTAAAAGGACACCTTTAGCATTATATTGACAGAACAATTAGTTTCACGTATGAACTCTATTTTGGGATTCTCCATTTTGTTGAAACCAACCAAATCTGTGTACAAGAATAAATTATGATATCAGTAGGATTAACTACATTTTCAAGTGAACTCGGGTCAGAGAGGTTGATCTAGATCCCAATTCTAATTAGCTTGCATGCAAGCTTAAGATCTGTTTCCATGTGGGTGGACATCTCTCTGTCTACTCCGATTCGTTTATTCCCTGCTGTCACTTTTAGACATTTCTTTTACCAAATGCTTGCTTTCATTTTTTTCTTTGCAAGAGGCGAGATATTGAGTGGGGAGTGTTATCAAAATGAATAGCCATCCACTTTCTGCTATGTATGTATTTACATCTTTCATGATAAAGTGATGACAATATTATCGACCCGACATATATATGAATTAGCCACTTATACCAGACTGAAAATTAGAAAATAATTATCGTAAACAGATTTTATCTGGGTGCCCTGAATGTGCTTCATGCAAAACACATATCATGATCATCCGCCATTAGAACAAGATCATGCATGATCGAGAATCTTAATCGATGTCAAATATATTTATCTTCACGAGTGTAGATGGTTTGTTTAGTAATATTTAACTATTACCTGATGAACTGTCACTGTTGATCACTACAGGTGAAGAACAACCCTATACCTAGGCTGCAACTGCTTGAACTAGCTAAAATGTGTGTGTCAACATTGGTGCTAATCCGTGCGATTTCCCGTATTCGATGTTTGAAATTCGTGTCGGACTTTCTGATTGGTCACTGTTCATCAATGAGGAAGTAAAACAGACTTTCATTGGATTTTATTCATTTGTTGTTTGAAAATATAATAGATAAGCAACTACGCTTTTATATCAGATTTGATTAACAGAAGATGACCATAACAATGAACTATTTTCGAAATAAAAAATTCATAATATTATTTTCTATGTTAATTATAAAGTTAAAAACGATAAACGGTATTAAATATCCGCAAAAATAAGTCTAAGAAAATGTTTAGCTCAAACAATCGCCAATATCAAAATTCATTTAACTAAAGCATATTATTTTTATCAATATATAAGCTAAGGTCAACTAAAAAAATCCACGGTGCTTAATTTACTAAAACGGTTAGATTTAAGCCAATATACAAGTTGACGAGGCATATAGGTCTCTGTAAAATATCTCAGGCTAAGTCAGGGACCACAAAACATAATGCATTTGTAATAATCGTTAGACGTAAAACTGTAATACTAATTTAAGTCCATGAAATTCTCGGTACACATAGTACACTAAGGTTTTTCAAATACCCCAATACGTCACCAGTTATGAGGTCCCTGTGCCCTACTTATATAGCAATTGTAGGTTTACAAATGAAAGTTGAATGCAAATTTCCTCTTGTATTTTCCATGTTTGTTATGTGACAATAATACAGAACTGGTTTTACCCTAGATATAATTAGAGCTCTCTACATGCGTGATCTTGAAGGATGGAATAATCAGGTGATGACTTTTCTTGTCAGGTCGACGAGAAAATGTCTGCGTTGTTTGCCGTGTTATTAAGATAAGACATCGTTCACGAATTACGTATAGTATGACATCGTGGTGTCCATCCCGCTACTACAGACAGCGACACGTAAGCGATGGGGAATGATGAGGCGTTCATGTAAATAATTGAATTTTCTAATTTTGCAGATATAACACGTACAGCCTGTTATCAAAACTGAGACTTGTGCGTTTTTCCTAATATCTTTTCTGTTCATTTGTATGTCGCTTTTTCCAATTATTTTGAAAACGTTTGTGTCGATATTGACATTTTAACAGTTTCTCACACAAAAAGTCTCATAAAAGTGTAGGATCCGTTAACACTTCCTGTAAAACATCATCGCCAGTGAATTGAAAATCACAACAGAAAAGTGATAATTTCTGACGACGTCGAAGCTCCATGACATGTGAATAAACGTAATTTTTAAGCGTGACGTCAAAATCCAACGTCATTGATTCAAAACGTTGGCAACTTGGAAATTTTCTGTGGCAGTGAAAAGGATACTATATCTTTATTTTACGCTCCTGGTTGATGTAACAAAACAATGCTCAACAAATTGTTTTGAAAAATGATAAAGAACGTACATTTAAATTACATATGATTAGGTAAGCGTTATGCTGATAGTGGAATTGTGGAAATTTGTGTCGTTAAGTTAATTGACCTGTATTTACAAATCATGAGTCAAGCGATGAAAAAATGTTTACTTCCAAAGCAAATGACACCCTTGATGTATTTGTTTTGCTGTTTGAGGAATTTAACGTCCAGAGAGATTTTTAGACACTGACCAGGAAGTGCTGGCTGAGTGCCAGTGGTTAGAGGGATAAATAGAAGCGGCTGTCTAAGCACGGACAGTTAGCGGCCACAACTCTGAGACTGGTGACATCTGGCTTGTGGAAAGCCGCTCGGGACTCCGGTTACAAACTTCTATGAGCTGTGTATGCTGTAATTTGTAGTCTCAATAAAAGGACCCTAAACTTTCATCAGAGCCTGGGTATTGTTTTATATAATTAACATACGTTGTTACACTAAGCGCAAAGTATGTAGCTAATCTGAGCTATTATAATGCTAACTAGTTATACAGGAGTGGCAATTCAGTGGAAATAACATTTGATCAGATATGGTATCACTCCATGCAGAGACGTATATATAATACACGTCTCTGCTCCATGGAACCATTCATTGAGCGCCACTTATTAATCTACATAATTTGCTAATTTTGAAAATGCCTTTGCTCTATCATGGTCTGCAATTTATTTTCAAAATTGTGTGAAGCTTATTTCTTTTTCCAATCCCAACGTTAATGAAACTTGGTCTAGCAGCGGACTTTATCTTCAGGTGAAAATCCGAAATGTCTGGTTTAATATATACCCGGAAAGCTCGTATTTCCCAGGAAACTGCGACCACAGACTTTCCAATACTGTCGTGGTTGTGACCTTGGGCAGAGTACTTCATCCCAAAATGACCTGGACAGCATGGGACGGGTCTTCCACATGGTGTTCATCACTACGACTGTACAAGGAAATCTCTCCTCAAAATGATCCTTGCTGACCACAGTATGATAAACACAAAAATCAAATAACCAGTTCTACATATACCTAATGGAAAACTACCGCCCAATGAAGTAGGATTTCTTTTCCCACGAGATAAAATAGAAGCATATTGGCATTGCGATTCCCTTCAATATAAAACGGAGCTTTTGCATTACCAAGACATGTAGTGATCATCCTCATTCGCGAAGTAAACGCAGAAGAAGAGACGGAGAAACAATTTCCGAACTTTCCGATCGTGAAAGTGAGCGACAGACTCGTCTTACGGAACAAGAATGAGCAGAAAAATAATGCAAACACAACCAGTATAACAATATCTAATTCAGTTTTATGCAATAAAGGATACAACATACAGAAGTAATGAAAAGATGTTGGAGCAGTCAGTGACGTAAGACCATGAAAAGTTAAGTGGCCAAAGATGGATGTGGGGGCAGAATGATGGGTGTAGAGGCAGAAAGGTGGATTTAGAGGCAGAAAGGTGGATGTAGAGACAGAAAGGTGGGTGTAGAGGCAGAAAGATGGATGTAGAGACAGAGTGATGGGTGTAGAGACAGTAAGATGGATGTAGAGGCAGAAAGATGGGTGTAGAGACAGAAAGATGGGTGTAGAGACAGAAAGGTGGATGTAGATGCAGAAAGATGGATGTAGAGGCAGTCAGGTGTAGCTAGAGGCAGATTGATGGGTGAAGAGGAAGAAAGTGGATGTAGAGACAGAAAGATGGATGTAGAGGCAGAAAGATGGAAGCAGAGGCAGACAGGTGGATGTAGAGACAGAATGATGGGTGAAGAGGCAGATTGATGGGTGAAGAGGAAGAAAGTGGATGTAGAGACAGAAAGATGGATGTAGAGGCAGAAAGATGGATGTAGAGGCAGAAAGATGGAAGCAGAGGCAGACAGGTGGATGTAGAGACATAATGATGGGTGTAGAGTTAGATGGATGGATTTGGTGGGGGGGGGGGGGGGGGGGGGGGGGGGGGGGGGGGGGCAGACAAGTGGATGTAGAGGGGGGGTGTTGGGGGGGGGGCAGACAAGTGGATGTAGAAAGAACAAAGCAAACTTCTAGTCTATAACACTGACTTGTGAGGTCTATGCTGAAACATTAATAACAGCAAAAGTAGAAGCCACACCAATACAACTTGATTACAAATATATACAACCCATAAGGAATCCACTATTTTGTTAAAAAGGCAAGTCAGGGTGTTACTGAAATACTGTGTACAGGGATTACGAGATTTGCTCCAAACTGCTCAGGAGACTCATTTGCAAAGTCTCCAATATAGGAGTTGAAGAGGCATGCTGAAAGAAAGCAAAGGTGTGTTATCAGTGGACCAAACTAGGATCATCTCACTGTTGATGAGTGAAGGCTAATCTTCATTTCAAAATAGCTAAACGACCAACACTCTGTGTGTTGGATAATTGTTATGGCGATACCTCGTCTGAATGGATCAATCCTAGGCGTTTCATTTTCCTTGAAGCACACAAACGTCCTATCAGTGACACTTTGAACAGAAACGACCTAATGTTGGTGCGGCTAGACATTGAAAAACAGACAACTTGCAGATAAAACTATCTGAAAGTCCTAACTGCGATTCTAAGTCACCTGTTGAGTTTCATAGAAAAATAAACATTTGCCTATAACATCCATGCAGCTGTTGTATAGAAATTAGTTCAACCTAGAGAAATGTGTTGTCAAAATATAATATTTCACTTAATTTCTCCATCATAGGAAAATGTCACCTCACCATGGTAGTGGAGCCAATCTGATGAAAATCAGATTTTTATTCACAAAGATACTCGCATTTCATACCATGGACATATCAAAATGTAATGAGAATACAGAAAAGCTAGGGACTTGCACTGTAGACATAGATCGGTCATCTATCAACTAGTAGATCGGTAGAACTGATGGAAATTCCCTGAATAAACGATAGTTCCAAAAGGACTAATTATGCAAAAGAGAGTTACGGTTTTGTATAATGCACTTCTCCATATCGAGATCTATCTACCAATGAAGTTTCATGTTGATACCTCATATAGTTTAAGTGATATTCTCTGGACATAATTATCACTGGCCTGACCAAGAAATAAAGCTTGATTATAGACATTGGTGCATGTACACTGACCATAAGTAATCTATCCCCTATTTAAACGTTCATGAAACGGAATGACTAAGTTGACTAAACTGTCCATTTAATTCAACTCCGCAGGTACAGTGTACTTCAGAATTATCAATGAAAGGTATATTGTACATACAATGTGTCACTTTTGTTAATCTAGATCAAATCCCCAGGACTAAAGGATGTTCCATACAAAATAAATTCAATTCCTTTAGTATATTTAGCTCCCATACCATTCTGGATACAAGTTAGTTGACTGTTTTGAAGGGAAAAAGGTGGTTGAATGAACTAATAATGTATACAAGAGGTCCAATGGGCTTGCAGCGCTACCTGGTATATATATATATATATATCAGCCAAATATCATGCCTCCAGACCTATTAGTTTCTGAAAAGAACTTTTTAAAATGTTTTAACACATTTGACCCCTATTACCTTAAACAAAAGTCAAAGTAATTTCTTTTCACAAACTTTGTTAGGCTTCATCCTTAG